ACCCTTAGACAGTGTTACACTTTATAGAGGGTATCAGTCTGTGATGTTCAGTTACTTTCCAGGAGTTATTTTGTAATGTTTTGTTGTTCACATTACCTTAACCTGTTTTATCTACTTCTGTTCAGTGACTTTCTTCATTTCCTGGGAAACTCTTTGACAATGAGTTTGAACTTGTTGACTGTTCATGTTGGCCATTGTGGGATGGAAATCAAAATGATTGTGGAGTAGCTTTACAGTCATTTTGGTTACAGATTCATAATATTGATTGTAAACCATGTGTTCTGAAAATAGAGGCACTCCTTTGCTAGCTAGGACTGGGCCAGGTTAGACTGAACAAAAATACTGATTGTGTATAGAAAAACTAATGTAGGGGTGATGTTTTGGCTGGCCCTTGGATGCTGAGGCAATATAGTGAGTGTAGAGAGAAGCCACATGATGCATACCTGCATACACACACACACCAGCAGACACACATCCTTACCTCTTGTCTCTTTCTCTCCTGAGGTGAGATTATTGTCAGGATATCTGTGTCCTTCACCTTTGTAAGAGATACACAGACACATTTAAGTTATGCTCTGCATTCTGATACAGGATACAAATGAAAAGTTCAACATCTCCAGCCTGTGAGACAAGCTCAGTGGTTGTGACATCTCGAGCAAACCAAATTTCCACAAGGGGTCATTGAGTGCAGCAGTGAAAACAAGACTTTACACTGCAACCTTTTAAAGAACAAACAAACAAACCCATCATCAGACAAACACAATGACTGTCAGTGTTCTCAGGAAGTGATGACTAAAATAAATCTATGTACTAGTACACTTGTATAATTATAACTTGAATAACGTCAACCCTTCAAACACCTTTGCAGAACTCTTAGGCTGCACTTGATTTTCCCCCCCTCAATGCTCACAGATTGTATGCCAGAACAGATCGAGGTGTACCTGTGGCAGCTGGCTCCAGGTCATCTGTGCAGGCCGGTAGCTCTTCACCACGATGCCCTGGTCCTCCACAGGAGGCTCCACCACCACAAAGTCATCCAGCAGCTCATCCTGGTTGGTGGAGTGCAGCCCTCGCTCACGGATCTCCTGGTAGAGGCGCGGTGTAGCTGAGGATAGCATCAACAAACAGTTGTTTCTCTGTGTGGTGGTTTTGCAATGTGGAACATTTTTCATGACAACAGAAGCACAAAAAAATAGATTACTAAAATGCAGTGTTAACGGTTAAAGTACCTGGTTTCTAACTGATATACTTCCTATGCATTAAGGATTCTGTTCTTATTCACCCACAAATCTGTCAGCTGTACTGAAAGAAGGTAATTGTAGGTATTCTATGTTGAAGTGTAACAAAGGAAAGGCTGAAACATGGCCAATATCTATCAACATAATGACATGGGCAACTGAAATAAAAAATTAAAGTGTGGGAGGTGAGAATGCAACCGTTATAAAAAAAGTGACAGTGAGTTGGATTTAAATGCAGATTTCTTTTGTTACATTACTGAATAATACAGAGACCATTAAGTTAGTTAAAAGATCACAGGTTTAATTCTCATAGCGTTAAATGTTAAGGTGAAATCTAATTATGATACTGAGAAAGAATAATGGCATCTTTGAGAATGTACCAAAACCCCTGAAAAAGCACTAAATGTCAGTTTTAATTCCAGTTCACAAGTGGACAAACAACTCTTCAACTGGTCCTTCTCAAGTCCACATAATCATAACTGGAGACTTACTTTTAAAAACTCAGGACAAGTTACACATTAAGGACTCAACAATGTGACATTCAGCATGCTGGGAACGTTCAGAGTGAATGATTTCCTGTTCTGTCCTCTCTTGTTGCCTCAAGGGATCTTTTCTAAGCCATTACGTGGAGACATCATGTTGCATCCACAAGGCAAGTGCGTTTTTTTTGAACATTTTCATTGAGAATACTATGACACATAATTCCTTTGCAATCCAATGCAAAAACATCAATCATCATTGTTATTTCCCTTCTATTTGTAGTCCTATAGTCACATTTAGAGAAGTGGACAGAGTGACACATTAGTTAACATACCATCTTTGAAGGACCCACGTTTGTTCTGGTTCCTCTTTCTCCCCAGGGTTCGCTAGAGGGGAGACAGCAGTGCAGCCTGAGTTAAACACTGTGGATTGCATGCGCATCAATAAAACTAATAGTATCTTTTGACATTCTCTCTTCAGCACTGCCACTTTCTTCCAATCCACAAATGTTAAATATAGTGTGGTAAAACCCCTATGAAGACTTCCTCAACACTGACACTGGTCTGGAAGATAGGAAACATGTGGAAACACGCCATCATCCCTATGACTAAAGGAGAATCACAGCCAACACTATTGGCCATGCTGGCTGACCCACGAGGCTTTTACAGAAACAAAACTGTATTCTTATCCAACTGCAACTACAGATTCCATTAGATTAACTACGAGGGTAAAACATAGTAGAATACTACCCTTTGACCACCAACCCCTTAGCCTACGTACCTTACGTGCAGGGCTGCGAGCTGAACCAGGACTGGGCGTCCTGTCTTCTCTGACAGGTTTAAGCGTGGCTACAGGCACTTGTCCCGTCACCATGGCTTCAATGTCCAGGCTGGTCACAGCCTCTCTGTATGACTTGTTCCTGCGGTTCCTTCTCAAAGCAAAGCCATCTCCATCACTGTCATAATCCTCCCAGGACACATCTGGCCCCTGGGTTGAGTGACGGGTCCGGCCCCCACTGATGGAGTTCTCCAGTCCCAATGGGAATGTCACCACAGTGGTGTGGTGACGGTGCCTGGGCCGGCTGGCCACAGCTAAATTCTTGGGGATGACCTGGCGGGTGCCAGCCTTCAGCGCTGCAGGACTCTGGGTGCTCAGAACCACCTGTTGAGGCACCACCTTCCTGTCTACTACATCTTCCTGGGGCGTGGAGGTTTCACATTGGGGTGTAGGGTAGCTTTGTGACTGGCAATCATCATCGCCCGGCTCAGATATATGAAGTTCTGTGGAGAAGTGGCTCTCCAGAATTAGGGGGACCTGGTCGCCCATGCAACTGTCTGACTGGCTGTGGGACATGGTGTCCTTGGCCCGAGGAGCTCTTCAGCACCTACAACATTGGACAAGTCTGCAGAGGAGGGGAGGATGACAAGTTCAAACAACATGCAGGAAACATGTCCAACACCTTAAAAGGAGACATGGGAAAAAAAACAGCAGGAGTAACAGGAGTTTCTCTTGTCTGGATGACCCTTCAGTGACCTACAGTGGGGCACCCAGATATCTTCCCATCAGAGAACTGATCCTCACTCATGATCCAATTCCCCACTCCCACACTCAGCCAGTTGTGTCCTCAAACTCATATACAGGGACTCAAACCGTGACTCAACGCTCACTCCTACACTGCACTAGCCCACACGAGAAAAACACACACACACACACACCTGCTCCAGCAAATCTGTACAAAACCTACAAGAAAACGAATTCACACTTTGTTTTCTTTGTTTTCGATAATTAACCTGTGCAAAGAGTCAAGTGCAGACCAAGCGAGTTATAATGCAGGCCTTACTCTTATAAACGTGTTATTGTAGTGGCAGGCTCAACATGACATTCATAACAGACAAAAAAAAAAAAGATCTTTACCAGAAGTTTTAAAACATTTGTTGTTATAACAGTAAAATAAACAATTGTGGTTTTTTTTTTTTTTGTCTCCTCAGTCGCTGCCTGAAAGACGGATTAGGGTGGGAGCAAAAATGTCTGCCTCACATTCCCATGGTTCTTAACAGCGGGGTGACACGCAGTTCAGCAAACACTTGAGACAGTGAGCGGTTCAACAGCTGTCTTACCTGTGCGAGGTGACCTTACTAATACCAGCCTTCTTATTCAATGGTATCAGTGGTCAGTCCTCCCGCCGGTCCTCCGGAGAGCCGCTGTCCGTCCGGTGCGCGGAGAAGTGCAGTTTAAGAAGCAGCTGTAGTCCTCCGCAGCACTCGGTCACTGTTTTTTCCTCTCTCACCCTCTCTCTCACTCACTTCCTCCTCTGCTCACCCATTAAGCCCTGCTGCCTACGTCACTACAGGTGAGTATCAATCAATCGTGTGAAAAAGAGGCAGTATTGGTTAACGCAGGGAAAGGCTCGCAGCTACGGAAACAACTGTAACATTTGGATTTAAATGCTGTTTCTGTGACTTTCCAGTCCGGCTTTGCAACATGACACTTGTTGTTTTTAAACAAATGCATTTAAAACAGTCTGACTAGAATCCACATTGTTATAATCATTTTGCAAATACATAGAATAAAATCATTAGTTTGAGCTTCCAACGATTTTCTGTTTCTTTCTTTCTGATGTTTGTTGTCATCACAACTACCTGGTTGGTACACGTAGCTCTGTGGCTCCCTCTGGTGACCAATAGGAGACGAGACGCAACAACAAGTGCAAAATCTAAACTTTCAAAATCTTCCCCACATTTGAGAGATTTTTGGTTTGAGTTGTCTAATTAAAATGATTCTGGAGCAGCATCCAGTAGATACATGTTTAAAGTGTCTGTAGCACTTTTTTATTTGTATTTTCTTAGTTATTTTTAATTGCATGTTACAATTTCAAAAAAACGTAATTATTATTATTATTATTATTATTATGTTTTTGTCATTGCAGTATTTTGTTTGTATTTATTGCATTTTAAATCTCATTCTGATATCTCGTTCCCCTACACTTTGTTCAAGCTATGATGTGTGATTGTACATTGTTTTACATTGTATGTTGCTGATATTATTATTAGAGATGATATTAAAACCTAGTTTGCACAGTTGTCACTTTCCTTAAAACTTCCCTCTATATACAACAGCACAAACAGTGGATTCATAAACTACCACAGGTGAATCAGCCTCAACAGAAACTGAGTATTGAAAGGCTTGAGGAAGAGTTTATTTTAGGGCTTTTTATTGTTGTACTATAGTGGATTTTGTTATACATGTGTTTATGTTGGAGGCAACAAAAGCACACTCTGGACATTATTTGGTGATAAAAGATTTATTATCTTCATTTTTAACAGTCTGAAAATATAATTATACATGAATTAGCCAAAAGTCTATTCAAGCAAGGCTGAAACATGTAATATAATTCAATATGGAAACAATGAAACGACAACATTCTGAGAGGGTGGCTATATACACAGTTGAAATATATATATAGAAAATCAAATGGCAATGACGTTTACATCATTTTTAATTTCAACATCATATGGCATCCAATGACAGTGAATTAGAATATTTCCAAATGATTCCCCAACCAGGACCATGTCTTTCATGACGACATGATGTGTAGCTACATTTGTAAAAATGTACATCAGACATAACTGTAGTAAACATAGAGAATATTTTCCATCATGTGGGAAAATGTATGTGTCTCACTCAGCAAGTGACATCCAGCTTGATTGTGAGGTTCAGTTGCTCTTAAATGTCAGTGCAGACTTATGCCCTGCTAACATTTAAAATGTGTCTTCTCAGTTCTGCTAGAAAACATTTAACACACATTTCCCATATTTGCATATTTATCCCCAAATATGTGAATCCAAGGTCTGCTGCAAAACCTGGAACTGTAAAAAAAAACCAGTTTAGACCAAAGAAATGATGAATAACATGAGCTGTATAATAATAAGTCCATTTGTGTCAGTTCTACTCTAAAGCCATCAGGTTCAGTATTGAAACTAGACTGTTCTCACTAACAGCTGCAGATTACTAATACACAGCTGGTATTATCTAAGGGACAGTAAATTTTAGATGTTACGGCTGTTTCTGGCTGACAGAGAGTACTCTGCATTCTGTAAGCAGATCGGCTCATCAAACATTTATCCTCCAGGTTAGTGGGACAAAGGCCGGAACAGGACACAGGACAAACTGATGACTTTTCAGTACTTTTGCAATATTCAGTGTGCAGATGAGACGTTTGGTGTAAGATGCTGCTCTCCACATGTGCATGTTTTGTTTTTTTTGTGTGTGTGTTTAAAAAAAAAAGGCCATGTTCAAATAGAAATCTAGCAGGATTGTGCTCCCGTTGTGTGTCTTTGTTTTTCACGAAAATCCAGGGCCCTGGGGTCAAATGTGCTTAATAATACATCACAACATGCTTGATACACATTACACATGCACACAACATTTCACATTCATGATCACAACAGCTTAACATTTAGAACATATAGAAAAATGACATTGGAACATTGCAGCTTTCGTCCAGTGATAATTAATAAAATTCAATTTGCACAGCTACATATAATCTTTACATCTTTTAAAATAGGATATATATTAATATTCCAAATCCACAGAGAAATGATAACAAGCTTATCTAAGGAAACAGATTAGTTTGAGCCGTGCTAAGATTACAACTCTGGCAGTAGAAAGTGCTTCTATGAACTTGATACAAAAACCTCATGACTAAGTATATACCATGATAAAGATGGGATAATGTCTACATACAGAATGCATTGGCTGCTTTAGGGGTTAATAAGCCTTTGCTGAGTATGTCAATGCCATCTTTAGATGACACAACTGTTATGGAGCTACTTTTTCATTCGTTACATAATGGTGAGTGAGGCTAGTAAGAGGGAAAATAAACGTGATGACAGGCCCTGTGGAAAGAATGCTCACAAGTTGCCCCTTCCCAACTATCAGAAACTCCTCTGTTTGACTAAATCTTCTATGTGAAATAGCTTCTATTGATCAGGAAAGCAAAGTGAAAGATACTACAGATAATCTTAATTTAGTTAAGCACAGATGCTTTTATAGCAAATGTCTTAAGTGAAGGGAATCAGTGCAGTCACAGCTATTCTTAGCACTAAAAGACCAAAAGTTTGTGTTTAATTGGAGGTGGTGGGTCCTGCCACTGCGTTTCACCCAAGCTGAGCCACAAAGCAGGACAGCGGCAACCACAGCATGGTCCTGTGTGTCTGGAGGCCCAAGAGTGAAACAGGGTTTAGAGGAGACAAGCCCCTTCCCCCTGTCCAGTGTACAGTGCAAGGTGGAGGATCAAGGAGGGGGGAGGTGTTCAGTGAAGGCCTTGGGGTGGGTGTGTGAGGGTGGGGAGTGATGCAGGGCATAGGAAGGGGAGATGGCCCAGTTCACTGTTTGGCTATATCCCCTTTCTTCAGAATGATCTGTCGCTGCCAGGGGGCCAGCTTGGTCTCGTCATAGCCGAGGATCCGTAGTCGCTCCTGCTCCGTCTTCTCCTCTTTCTCCTTGGCCTGTTTGGCCTGCTGTTCCGCTTTTCTAGATCCACGAGGGAAGGTGGACAAAGGACGAGAAACAAGATTGAAGTTAGAATTGGATACAGGAAGCTTTCACATGGTTTAATTCAAAGGAAATATTACACTCAACCAATACATTATACAATACAATCTAATGTTGTTCCTCTATTATTACACTACATACCAAAAGTGTGTGGACACCAACATCTCATTCAAAAACCTTGGGCATTAATGTGCTGTCAACTCAACTCACCTCCCTCTGGGAAAGTTTTCTACAAAACCTTGGAACCTGGCTGCAGGGATTTGTTCCCATTCAGCCACAGGGGCTCTGAGGTCAGGCTCTGATGTTGAGTGATAAAGCCTGCCTCGTAGTCATTTCTTTATGGCCCTGGCATTGTGTGCGGGGGGCAGTCATTTTTGGCACAAAGTTCAAAGCACACATTTGTCTAAAATATCATTGTATGCTTTAGCATTAAGATTTCTCTTCACTGGAACAACAGGACATAGCAATGAAAAAGTTCACAATGTTTGAGGTATTTGGTGTAGTGGACCGGGGTGTCCACATACTTTTGGTCATATAGTATAGTATATCTCTTTATTTAGCCTAATGAACCCTGTTCATGGCAGAAATGTTTCATTATCCCAGCAGGAAAGCACAGATACATGTAAAATCTAATATTGTGTTGTTATGAGGACTTACTCCCTCAGTTTATGTATAAGGTTATTGGCCATTTAATTTGAATGTTATTTTGTCATGTTTTTTGTTTTCTCTTTTCCTTACATGATTAAAATAAATATAAACAAACAAAAATGCCAGCCAGCATGCACAATACCAGGACCCTGGAACTAGCTCACCTAAATAAAATGCATGTATGTTGTTTTTAATGTAATCAGTTATATTTGTCTGTATTTAAGCACTGAGGGCAACAGGGTGAAGAAACAAACAAAAACTATGTGACATTATTGACGTCATAGGATTGGCTGCTCAGCCCACGTGAGAATAATTTGAAAAACCCTCTCATCCACTAATAACATCCGGTTTGCAGTCTACCTGCTCCACGTGAATCCACAGCGTCTGTGAGACGTTTCGGAAAAGATTGCCTTGTCTTACTAAATGTCTTAATGTCAAGGAAACATGACAACGCTGGCTAATCATTTCCTTTCCCTTTGTCTCAGTAATGAAGGAGACCTGTGCACCGGAAGTGTTTTAAAATGACAGGTGAGTGGTTAGCATGAGCCCTGAGAGAGCTAATGTCTGTTAGCTTATACCTGAGAGGTATAGCTGTGTGACAATTAATACAGTTTAACTTCTTTCATTTATTATTCTATGTATACTTTAGATAACATGTCCACCTAAACTCTCACTCGGGTGGTCGGTGAGAAAAGGAGGCAGGATAGAAACGGGCGCCGCCTAGTGTCGGTAACCGGTACAGCAACAAACCCACCGTACACCTGCCACAACCTCAGTGCCCTTTGACTTTTCTACCTTTCAGTTTTAACACAGGCCTCGCTAGTGTGTAGCATTTGGCTGTTAGTTTGAGGAAACAATATGTAAACATTGTTTCCCTCTGTATCCCTCTTTATAACCCTACTGTGTGATATTTAACTCCATCCATGTGACATAATGTGACCACTAGATGGGAGCCTTGATGTCATAGTCTCTATATTATGTAAACATTACTATAAGGAAAAAATCAATTTGTTCTTACCGTTTTTGTTCCCTGTCACATCAGGAGAACATAAGGAAGAGAAGAAAAAGTGTAAATATCTTAAACAGAACCAACAATTATTCCAAAACCAATTAGGACATTATTATGAGGTCATGTCATCATAAAAAGAGAATGTCACATAACCAACATTTAATGAAAAATACTGGAGTTTAATCGTTATACAAAAGCTACGAAACATTAAGATAACACCTTAAGACAGATGAAGACTGTGGCACAAAATTTTATAGAAGATAAACATTAAAAACAGAAAGTTAAAGATCTCCAACATTCTGTCCAGCAACCAACATTGCATCTCATAATTAATTAGAGTTACAGAGAGTTACATCTTGAGTTATAGGCCATCTGAACCCACATGTGCCAGTCAAAGCACACTTAGCACTTGTGCAAGTACCTCACATCAAAGGGAAAACTTTCTATTTACAGTCACATGTTTGTGCCTCAATAAACGGTGAAACCCACAGAATGAGTTACTGCTTGAGTTTACATTCAAATGGGCAAGAGGTGTTATACTCTCTGTTTTTAACATATTATACCGCAAGCACTGGTGCCAGACATCCTCGTTCCAGTTTCAGAAATAAGAGTGCTCCGCAGTGAAATGGTTTTGCACTGCAGGATTTCTTTAAGTGAAAATAATCACTGATAAGAGATGTCAGGAGAACTGCATAAGTTGTTCAGGCAAGGCACAAAAATACTAATAATAAAATAGATCAGTACCACAGTGGCCTCAGACAAGAGCCTCTGCGTGTTCAAAATCACAGGATTGGTCAATCAAACTTGTTATTAAAAACTAAATACTTGTAGAGTTGAAAAACACAGTGTCCGCACATGGTGGTGGTGTAACGGTGCAGGCATTGTTCGAATGCCACAGCTTATATGGAACACTGGCCTCAAAGAGATTCACTTGTTAATCAAAACAGAGTAAAACGTATATTCTTCTAGAGATAGATAGATACTGTGCCATCTTACAACGTATGCATCTCAAGATTGTTCCAGGCATGTTCCCTTCAGCATCGTGTACAGCTTCCAGATCTGAACCTGTGGAGGAGGCAGCATTAATCTGCCACCAAAAAAACTCAGCAGGAACTGTGTGATGCTATTCCATCAGCGCAGACTAAAATCTCTGGATCATTTCCAGCCTGTTGAATTTAGGGAAGCAAAAGAGAATCCCAACCGGGATAATACCTCAGCTCTGTCTATCTAATAAAGTTGCCCTGGCGTAGAAAATTGGAAAAACAAATGATGGTGCAAAATATGGTCAATTTTAGCAAGAACGTCACATCCTTATTTCATGGTGAAGAAACATATATGCAAAAACAATGAGCACAATCTACCCAGGATAAAATAAATATGGGACAAGAGAAGATTAATAACAGACGTGCAGGGCAACACAGCTTCGTTACTCACCTATCTTCGTCCAATTTTTTCTTCATCATGTCTCTCCTCCAGGCTGGCATTGATGCCAGGCGTGCAGCCTCTTCCTCAGCCTGTAGAGGGACGGAGGGGTCAGGGCAGAGACAGAGATGGGGGCCCACACCAGTCAGTAAAGGATTTTAACTGTAACAGCAACCCTCCCACCCTGCTTTGCATGACCTCATCCCCTGGTGAAGAAATCATCCTCAAATACATTTCAGGTGAAATGTAAGTTGTCTTTTAAACAAGAATTGAATAATGTATTTGGGGATGGTAATGAATGGAAAACTTAACGTTCTTTTATCATTTAACTGTGCTAAATACTAGGTACTAAGCATCTGCTTCAAATACATTTCCTCTGTAACCCTCCTCTACTTGTGAAACAGCACATTTTACACAGTCCTAACAGAGACGCATCTGTATATTTTTATGGGGAAACATTCAAACCCTTCATGCTGTCAGTTAGGGCTGGGTGATACAGCATTATATGTGAATATGTATACAAAATCAAATAAAACATACAAAACATTAAATCGATGCTCAATTTGTGTCCCACACTTGTATATTGCGTCAGGAACACAAAGCCATTAACCACTCATTTTAATTTTTAAATACTTACATCAATTAGTGTTGCAGTTTTTTGGTATTTCCAGGGTCTTACTCATCAAAGATATCCAGATAATTCAATAACCCTGCTTCCTGAAGCTTGAGTTTCCTTCAGTTTTTAGGAGGTTGTAATACCCTTATAAACATTTGGCACATGGTTGTGTCAGGGGCTTAGAAAACCACAGTTCAATCAATCACAATCAATCAATGGTGATATTGAAGTGTCTAATGCCTGCAGTTTCACATAAAGCTTCTCTACATGCAGGAGAGGGAAGAAAAACATCTGCACAGAGAAAAAACTGTAATGAAACGTTAATCCAATCTATTAGTCCAACGGTAGTCCAACCTATTAGTCCAACCAGTATACACATTCTCAAATGTCAAATGTTTTACAAATGGCCTTTATAGAAGGCTTAAGTGGTTAAACACTGCATACAGCGTTCTGTGTAAACTGATGTATGTACAACGGCAAACAAAGCTCACAATAGGTACTGTTCTCCTGTTTAAAATAAAATTTAAGCCTTTTAAATGGACCAGGACACTATTTTACAGGACGTTCTCTCAGACAGCGCCCACAAACAGTAACTGGATCCTTTTCTCTCTTTCAGGCTGTAATCGGAGGTGGAGCGGAGGGAGAGAAAGAGGGCAGCCATCTTGGATTTCTCATCTTCGCCTGACAAGATACATTACTCTTTTGCATTCCTCTTACTTATGCTTTTCACTTGCCCTGGCAAACTTGAATCCAGGTAAGATTATTTACACAGTGAATTTTTAATGATTCCCCTGGGAATTACAGAGCCAGAAAAAAAAATATCGATACAAAAATGTGAAGTGCACATGTGCACTGGTAATTAATTGTAAATTAACAAATGTGGATTAACACAGAAATAAAACTAGCTCTTGCTCATCCACAAGTTACAGATTTACCTTAAAATGGGTCATATAGGCCAGAGGCTTGGCATCCATCACACACTAAAGTTCAGACTAATTAAATTTTCACCATACTTTTGTCACATTTGGGTAAATGGTTTATTTATTACTGTCATATCCCCTGCATACAGTTTATTAGCATTATATACAGTCAAATCAATGTACCTTGTAACCAAAATACATGTATACATGTATCTCAGGTCTCAAATACAGACGTTTTGGGGAAACGGGAAACAGTGACTCAGAGCGAACCACACAACCCAATTGGTGGTGTTCCTGCTCCCAGGTCATCAAATACCGATGCCTTGGGTTGCCAAAGAGTTGGTATTTGACATCCTTTTAATACATATTTTTGAGGGCTTTTTGCCATGATTGGAAAGGACAGCTGAAGATAGACAGGAAAGGGGGAGAGAGAGGGGATGACATGCAGTTAGATTTGAGGACTCAGCCTTGTGCATGGTGCTCTACCAGGTGAGCTAACAGGACGCCCCTAAATCACTTACATTAACATTAATACCATTACTATAGTCCTCTATCCACACAAAAATTGTCTTTGAGAAGTAACAGAGCACTAAAATGAGCCCAGATGAATGGAGTGAACATGGAAACAGAAACCAAACCTGTGACCTCCTTGTGGTAAGGTAACAGGTTGGAGCACAGTCTAACTAAGCTGTCCTTTTATCAATGTAGGAATAACTGCTGGTGGAAAATTCCACAACATCTTTCTTTTTGAATCATGTGTCCAATAAATTTCATAACAACTAACAAGTAAAGCCAACAGTTAAGTTAACCAGTTGTATCAGCTAAAGAGTTGTTGGGCCATTTCTTTTAAAAACAAAGGAAAATCTTAAGTGACACCCTGTTAAAAATACACCCGATGGGAAAGGTCTTTGTTTTTTGTTCAGGTTCATGCCATCTGTTGTGCTAATAGACGACATCCATGTGAGCCAGAGAGCTTGGTCAATACATTGCATTAGCCGGGCAAGCAACCATTACAATCAATATTTAGTTTTCTAAAAATTCCCAATGATTCAACTAAAAAGTGTATGAAATGTAATTGTGTCTATATGCCGTTCTAGTTTAAGTTAAAGTGATATCTACTAACATTTAAGGCAGATGTTTATTTATAGTCAGGTTGAAAGATGCGGATAGAGGCTAGATTGTCTATTACGTATTATGTCTGAGCTGATCTGAAGTACTGCATCATCTTTCCATATGAATTCCTAGCCTAGAAAACATTAACTTTTGGATAGTCTGGACACATACTGTTGAAGTGGGCTTACAGTATCAATTTAATGAATTTGACATTTATTACTTTTTTTTTTGCTAATGCTTTTTCCAGTCACTTGCATATGTGCCAGTGATAGTGTAAATGCAAATATTTGCGCTTGTGCAGTGTGCAAGCTTGGCAATACTGAACTCATTCTAGTTTTGTACATGACTTACACTGTATAAATTCAGCGTTATTAGAAACATTACCACAGTCATTACTGTGATATTTCCATTCACCAAATCTGAAACAAATACTGTACATAATTACAAATCTATATATATGCCTTTAAGTTTACCAGCTGACTGTCTTCCCTTTTGGGATGTGAGTTGATCAGGCCTCACTGTAACCTCCTTATGGCTCCTGTAAGCCACGGATAGCATGACAGCGGGTGGTGCTAAGAGGGTTATTTGAAGGTAATCTTGATGCTTCAGAAGAGACACTACGCGAATAGTGTGGTTCTTCACTGCGACGAAGTGCGAAGTGTCACAGCAAAGGATTACACACTCCAGCATGGTGTTTCAACTTATTCTTTCATTGGTACATATACGAGTGTGATTATTTTTTGATTACTAGAATCTTCTGTTGGCCATGTCTTTCAGTTGAGTAAACCCAACAGTTAAAGTAGAATGACTTTGGAATGAACTACTGAAATCATATAATCACAAAAATGTCAACAAACTTTATTTTTAACAGCAATGTAGAAACCATGTAATAAAGGAACGCCAATTTAAATTATGGAAAGCTTAAGCAAATGTCTCAAAAACACTCATTATAAATAGAGTAACAAAAGTATGGGACAGATTTCATGGAACAATTACAAACCCTAAATTTGATGTTTCATTTAGATGATAATAGCTTAGTCAAGTGAATGCTTTAAATTGCTGAGTTCTGAATTACAAATGAAACGGTAACAAACTGAGCTGTTTCTTCAGGCCTTGCATTTACCATGTCTGTTAATCTTTATAATCTATACTGAAAGGCACACATTGTATTAACAAAATCATGAGGTCACAGACTAAAAGACAAGGGCCATTTGTAAACCACAAAGTAACATTAAACTCCTGCAAACCCACTGAAAACCTAGTTTCTTTGCCTTTTGATTTCAAGCAACAAAGGTCGCTTACAATATTAGGTTTTTTCAGTTGTGACGTGAATCCCTTGCCTTTCTTAGATAGTGAATAACTGAGGCTATCTCAATCTGAAGTATTCAATACAAAGTGCAGAGTTTTACCAATTATGCCCTTCATTGCAAAGATGATCTAAACAAACATATTTCATGACTTTTATGGCAAATAGTTTCCTTTAAAAATTTGTTTTTTTTAAATAGAAGTAGAATACCATGGCAATCAATCATATTAGATTCAAAAAGCTATAGGTTCAACAAAATTCAAAATTAAATGGTTGTAGCAAACTTTTATGTATTTTGACATCACCACCTTTCATCCACTTCAGCATAATGGTAAAGTCTGTACAGCTAAGTGGATGCTCTTTGCCTCGCTGCAGTTAAGTCCCTTATGTGACATGGCCTAAAAGCTAACACACCAGATTAGTTTCCTTTCTCAGCATACTCCACTTTGCAGGTTGGTTTCCCTGATCCTGCTCATTATACATTTCCTCTTTGGTTGTATAGGTGAACTGGGCTTTTAGTGGACCCTTAGTTGTTAGATATCAAAAAGCTCGGCTTCCTTTTCTTTCCAAAAAGCAAAGCTTCGGTCAATGTATCTGATAATCTCCTCATTACTAAACTCTTTTAGCTCATAGATCACTTTAATTGAGTCTTCACTATGTTCGTCTTTGGGTGGAGGTTTATCAACATGAGGTTCCTCTATGATTTTAACAGTAACAGGTGGAACAACTTTCACTGGATCTGGTCCTGAGTTTTCTGTTGTGGACTGCAGTGTCTCAGCTTTTGCTGTTGCATCAGTGTGTTGTACAGTTGCGGTTGTCAAGCTTTGCATATTGTCCTTCTCTGAACTGTTCCCGTTAGAAACCACTGCCTCATTTGATGACATCTGCTCACTGGCTTTTACATCCCTCTGAGCATTGTCCTCCAATTGCTCCACACAATGGTCACTGTGAGATTGTGGAGATGGTGCAGGTGGAGTAGACTGTGAACTTGGAGGTGGGGGTGCAGGATGGGTAGGTGGTGGAGGTGGAGGATGAGAAGGTGGGGGAGGGAGTGACTCCTGCATTGGCATAATGGACATGTCAGGAGACATAGAATGTAGAGAAGCTGTCAACACACCTCCTCCATCACCAGAGTCTCCGAAATACTTGAGTTTTATGTCTTCAAAACCATCTACCCAGTCTCTCTTCCCTTTCTCAATTTCCTCCATGACCTCCTTGTGAAACTGCCTTATGTTCTCCCATTTATGGCTACCAAGACGGTCAAACATCTCATAACACAACAGGTGGCGGAATTTGCGCTCACTGCGAGACATGTTCATTTCCAGCAACTGGAAGTATCCAAGCATGAAGAGGTCAAGGGTTAGGCTTTCGTAACTCACAGGTGACCCGTTGATATGTGGCAAGAAGTGCTCTGGCCAGTAGATCATCTGGGCACGACTCAGCCTGCGGATCTGGCGTGTGGGCACTTGACTCATGATTGCCCTCCAATGGCCAATCAGATTCCCTACCACCTGCTTTGACTTCATGAAAAGGAGGAGTTTGTCGTCTTCACTCTGTATCTCCCCACCAATCTGTGCACTGAATTGGTTGTAGTCCTCCCAGCCCACGTCTAAATGACTTCCTCTCTTGCCAGTATATTTAGTCCGATAAGATTCAGAGATGGTGTACTTCCGCCAGTGCTCAAGGAATAGGAAGACGATTCTCTCTTTCCTCATTTCAATGCATTCCTGGACGTAGCTTAGATCTGTCTGTACCTCCAAGGTTCTTGTTAGTTGATCATTATTTAAAATGGGGTCTGCAGAAAGAACCTGGTTGAACTGTTCAATGTTGGTTGGAGCCAGTACCTCAGAGGGCACATATGTCTGAGGAGCATGAGATGCGACAATAATTGGCTCTTCAACAAGTGGTAAGACTGATTCCTCTATTGAAGGTGAATCTCCATTAGTGTGGGTGTGAAGGACCTCAGCAGAGGAACTAGGGACATCATCCTCACAAATTGTCTCTGGAGGATAATTAGACTCACTTACCACAGGGAGTGACCTCTTGCGTTTGTACACTTTGTTTGCTTTGTTATCTGTGGACTGCGACTGATTCTGAATTTCATAATTGGCCTTGAGGTTCTTGACTGAAACTCCACACTGCTTTATCTCCTTCTCCACTTCCTCTCTTGTTGAGAAAGACTGAGACCGTGCAATAAATCCAGTGCCTGCTTGCTCTGACTGACCTGTGCTCACATTCCTTGCCTCTTCTTGAGAATATACAGGACATATAAGATCCAAGATGTCTATCTCTTTCCCCCCCAGGGTGGCGAGAAGAATGGCCATACTCTTAAGCAGGGTAGAAATCTTGCTGCACCAGGCTGGAAGATCTTCAGCCTGGCCATGCACCTGTTTTGGATTGACTGAGAATTGCCCTTGATTGAGGGCAGCAGAAACTGGTAGGAGCTGGTGAAGCTCCCGCTCCAGTTCTTCCAGCTCCTTCTCAACTTCCGAGACCTTATGCATGACCTGCAGGTTCTCAATTTGCTTCTCAATTCGGTTTAGGTCATCCTCTGTCATCAGTTCCCCAAATGGGCCCAAAATGGCATTGTGGACATGGGAGTAGTGCCATTCCTGAGGCTGGTAGTGTCCGCTTGCCGCAAACTAAATCAGAGGTCAAAGGAGACCAAAAAACAAGAAGAAAGGGAAGGAGGGAGGGATTCCTTCAGCTCGAGGTTCCTGGTGTAAACACACGCTTCAGTGCAAATCCATCTTGACACACAGGACTTACATGGATTTAGTGGTGCAATGGCACTGCCTCATTACATGCGCATAACTTTCTACTTTTAATTTTGAGTCAAAAAGAACAGAGAAGACCTCGTCCTTTTTGAATAAATTGGCAAACTATATTAATTATATCAATATTTATGTTTATATTTATAGAATACTAATAAGGGTTTGCAACATGTCTACATATGTCTTTTTATTGGCACTTGACACTGCAGATCTTTTACATAATAATATAATATTTGCGCAGTTCCTCTTTGCACTTTTATGTGAACTACACAAATTCTGAGAATTCTGCTTTTACTGAAATTCATCTGTTGAATTTTTCATCTGTCTGCAACCCAAAGATGATGTAACACGGCATTATAGTGCAATGTTACATCACTGTTGGGTACTGGCACCAGTGCAACAGACAGACACACTTCAGTCCACACCCAACAGTGATAGGAAACCACACTGGGTGTGGTTAGAGGTGCAACAGAGTTGAAACTGTCAACCCAAAGAGGTCAGTGCAACAAAGGTTTTTATCATTAAGGGACATGGTGTGCAGTTACTCTTTAATATATCATGTTCTGTCTGCAAAAAAACCCCAAAACAATTTGAAGCATTGATGGCATTCAGGTTTTTTAACCTCTGCAAGCATATTTTATTGGCACTATTTGCAACTTAAGGTAGAGTGATATACAAATGTAGTTTTTTTTATTTTTGTTATTACTGGTTGACCTGTAGTGTGAATGGGCCTGGCATCACACCACTGAATCGGCATGTAAAAACTTGGAGCCACAAAACTCCATCATCAAACACCTGCCCCACACTGTGTCCATTAGTCAAGTGTGTTAATGTTGTGATGGGCAAAGTAGCCAAGTATTCAATTCACTGCACCCCAAAGAGTCTCTTGCTATTAATGAAGATATTTCATAGAAATATATGAGAAACATGCAGAGAGATGAATTAAGAAACAATGAAATAATTTTAAAATGAGTGAGCATATGATGTGTACATTTAAAGCTAGCTATGTCCAACAGCCACTTACACATTGTAATTATGCCACTGCATCTCAACAGATGAACAAAACACTACATGTCAGTACATTTCTACCTGCTGGATCAGTTAAGAGTAGAAGATAGCTTGATGGTAATAAATTATTAATCAGTCAAATTTAATCAATCAAATCACATATTGCATAGAGTCCGCCTTGTATTACACAGGACTAACATGTGTTTTGATTGCTATAGTATGAATTACTAATTAATACCATGTCTAAATACACAATATTACCACAATTCATCAAGAGAGAAACCAAAAGTAGTAAGTTCAGTGTGTTGACTGAAACCCTTGTGAATAATAAGGTGATTGTAATTAAACTGCAAAAATGCTCAAAATGTGATCAAGTCCCTAACTGCAGCCTGTTTGACAAAACAGAAACCCTCTCCTTTAGCTGTCACCCTTAACTGACAAGTCAAAAAGAGCAAAACGTATGTCGTGCATGAATACAACAGTTATACAGCTCATTGTTCAAAATCACAAAAATCCACACTCAAATCCAAACATCAGCTATCCCCTTTGTGTTGTTAATTATTTGAAACTGAAACCATATATAATGTTAAGGTTACAGAGCATTTTAAATTTACGGGACCACAAATGGGATAGCTAAGACACAACAAAACCTCTACCTTGCAACATCTCGCCTACCTTGCGCTTGTGCTCCTCTTCCTCTTGCATCTTGACCTGAAGCTTTCGCACCATCACCTGCCTCTTCCATTCAGGGATCGCTTTCCCCTGTTCATCATGAGTAGGCACTAGTGCCTCCACATCTGCAAGGCTCAGCTTCCGCCCTGATTCTGCTCCTGCCATGCTGCCACCACTGTTCCCATTGACCACAGAGCTGGAGGACAGTTGCTCGTAGCTCGCAGAGCTTGACATGGTCCTGGCAGATCCGGAGCCAGTTGGACTGGGGCTGGGACTAGGGGTGGTAGGTGGAGAAGTGACAGACGTATTTGATGGAGGAGGGGATGGCGGCTTGGGTGGTGGGCTAGATGTGCGGGTCTCTGGTGGAGATGCGGTGTTTCCCTGGATTAAAATAAAGACACAGATAAACATGGGGCATGACAAAACTGATAACTGGTGGATTTTTTTAGCCAATAATCACTACTTTTGATTGAGTGTGTCACATGATGTCAAGACTTCTTCCAGATTCTGACACATTATTGTGGTAGCCTTTACTTTATAGTACAGTAGCTTTAGACTAGTTAAAATTGAACACATACAGTGCATGTCCATGTAGAGCACTTATGTCTTAAAGCAACAGATGGATTTCAGTAAAAGCAGAGTTCTCAGAATTTGTGTAGTTTTATAAACATAACTAACATTAGTTACATTACTAGCTGTGTCATTGTTGGCTCTATATCATGGTATTTGTCATGGTGTTGGACTTGAAGAATCTCATCCTTTTAGTAAGAATTTAAGTAATCGAGCTCATGGGTTGCCAGTTTAGCCCTTCTTAGCCTTGATGGACTAGTGACAACACCGTAGAGCAACGCACCGTTTAGAAGGACCAATGAAATATGGTCAGAGAGCTCTGGTGTCCCCTCACTAATATTGTGTAGTTTCCAAAAGTATTAAAACTTGCCAATTAACAAATTCTGGGATGGGAATCATCAGTGATTTACTAATCTCTTGTTTGCATCAAATTCAATTCTGATTGATAAAGTTTCACTGAAAATGTATCTTAATTTATTCTGGCTTAATTTAAGACAGACAGACAAATCCACAAGTAATTGTAAAAGTCTTGGCTAAATTTCTAAAATTAGCAATTCTGTATTTGTATTTTTGTACAAATGTATCATCAGTAGTGGAGGAAGGCTGTGGACCTACATTGTTGCCTGTGGGTGCGTTGCTGGAGAAGACAGTGGTGTAGCCTTTACTGTGAGGTGTGGGCTTGAGGCTCTTCCCTGCTTTGATCTCTGCCAGCAGCTCCGAGTTGTCGCCAGTGGGGGACATCATGTTGAAAGATTTTGTGCCTGCAGACAAAAGGATGGAGCAGAAAAGTGAAACCGGGTAGATAGAACGACGGAATAGAGGGAGAGATAACTAGAGAGAGTGAGAGAGATACACTGAAGAAAAGGGAGGGAGAGAAGGGTTGGGTGGCATTTCAGTGTTAAATATTTCATCCGATCAGGCAGGCAACAATGGTGACCTGGAGAATGTTGGACAGTGATGGTAGGTCATTATGGTGTACTGAGTCGCTGTCTCCCATTGATAAACTTGATAAGTTTCTTTTTAGATTTGTAAACTTCGATTGGCGTTTGCCTTTATAACTCGCAGGGTTCAGGGTTTCTTAAAACATCTCTGTTTAAGTCTCTCTGAAAAGGGTTGACACAGTTTGGATTATTCAAATGGCTTCCCAGCTACCAAACTCCACTGAATCCATTTCAAAGACAATGCAATTAACCAACAATAATCCAGCACATTAGGCAACTGGTTACATCAATGAGCAGTTGCAGTGAGCCAGGATTAGTTGGCAAGGAGCAATTAAAAGTTTTTTCACTACAGTGAACCCAGAGAGAGGAGGCACAGTTAAGCTACTGATGATCTTTTGTAGGTCTTTGGTAAAATATACATTCAGCTTCCATAGACTCTAATCTGCTTAAAGTGAAAAATGCAACAAATTCAACTACGAACTCTATTGGTAATGCTATTACAAAGGAACTTTGTTTTCACTTTTTAAGGACAGACAAAATGAAAGAAATTTTAAATGTCTATCAGGCAACGTCACAGTAGTGCTTACATATAGGCCACATTTTTGTTAACTTAGCTGACTTATCCATTAATGTTTCAAAATATTAACATTTTACAACTGTTACATTAATACATGAATAACCAAATACAAATATACTTTAACAGCAAACTCCAATTTCAATGACAGAGTACCAAAATATGGAACAACAATACAGGTGTTATTTAAGTTTGATCTATGCAACAAACTTTTAAGATGTGTCTGGAAAATCCTCTAATCAAATATGATCATGTAATATACAACTATACATTCATTTTACATTTAAATTTCACATATTATGGTATTAATATGCCATTCACACCAAGAGCCAACAGCTACCTCACCTGTTTTAGTGAAGGTAGATCTCCAATAAATTCCTCAGCTCCTCATTGATCACTCATTTTCTACTTGGGGAATGGAAAAAAAGTCCTCCCGTAAAAGTGTTCCCTGTTGAGTCGACCACAATGGTCTAGCTGGACACAGCCTCGCTAGCCTGCCACCCCTCCTCACTCTCCCTTGCTCTCCCTCTCTCTGTCTTTCTCTCTTGGGGAGGAGAGAGCAGCTTTCTATTAAAGACCCATCATCACAGTCGGGGGAAATCTAAAGGAATCACCAGTAACTGGAAGTGACAGCGAGCCACTGGCAAGCTGGCTAGGAATTAACACATGCACACACACACACACACACACACACACACACACACACACACACACACACACACACACACACACACACACACACACAGTCACCCTTCAATCCCCAGCTTGTTAGTCCGTCCTTCCGAACCAATCCTCACCATAGCAAACCTGACACACAATTCGATACACGCATTCATGACACATCTCACCTCATATTTACTGGATTACACCTCCTTATACAATGTGCAGTTGTACACACTCATGCGGTAGTCTGTGAATAGTTTGTGGATAAAAGGAAACAGCTACTGAACCCTGACCCACTTTTACAACATGTGACATCTCTTTAAATTCACAGTCAACAGATTACATTGTTCAATAAGTCTTCATTGCCAGGCGCAGTGAGTGCTACAAAAACTCTTTTTAAGTCCTGGTAAAAAATTAAATATTCCTACTTAAATGTAACTGCATCAGTCACAAAAACGTATTATTTCTAATTTTGGCAATATATACAGCCTACCTTCACCCATTTTCCCCTGACAAATCTTCATTGCAGAGCTCCAGAACACTTGATTATCCACAATCAGATGTGTTTAAAAGCTAAGAAAAATGATTGGTGTACTGTTTCCATACACCTTTTGTATTGGTATTGGTTTAAGTAATAGGCTGTTAGTTAAATTCTGTTTGGGCTTGGGGTGTGGACTCAGTAGGTCTGCCAAAGTGAGTGTAAAAGAGGGTGGAGCTGTGACAGGTAGAGAACATTTGACAAATGACCTCTCATGATGGACATAACAAGCACAAAAGGTTTTCTGCTCGCGGTTAGAAATTAAGAGCTGCTCCATCTGTCGAGCACCTCAGATAGAGATGTGTTGTGCATATGTCCTCTTATATAAAACGTAGGATCCTGTCCATCCTGTTAATCAGTTGAAAACAATGAGGAAGTTCTAACCGTCTACAATGATGCCAGCAGCATTGTCAATCAGCCACCTGGTTTGTTGCTGTCATCACAATGAGCCTCTGAGCTGTAAACTCCTCTTGAGCTCTCACATGTGTTAGTGGCTTTTAAATTTATGACCACCTAACAGTCTGAATCATATCGTTAGTGAGCACACACACTGCTCCTTAGCACTGTAAAAGATGCGTCCTGTACAATATAAAAAGTATAATCCTCTTCCCCCCCGTTGATCAATACAAAACAATAGAGACCTTCTACCTATCTTTTTACATTGTTGCAGGAGCATTTTCAATCAGCCACCTGGTTGGCTGCGATCTTCTCAACAAGTGTCTGAGCCGTAAACTCATCTTGAGCTCTCACATGTGTTTGCGGCTTTTAATTTTATAACCACTTAACTGCCTGTTTATTACCTGATTAATGCTGAAGCACAACTCAGGCTATTAGTGAGCACAGCCTGCTCTTTACCTTTTAAGTATTTTATTGCTGTTCTACTATTAGGCAGCAGGTGGGCCATAAAAGGATGAGACAATTGGATATTAGGTGAACAAAGCTGAAAGATAATTTACATAGATTGTAAAAAGGTGCCTAAATTCAGCAATTAATAGTTAACAGCTTTATTGAAGTTGCTTTTTATTACTGGTTTTTAAAAAACTATACTGTATATTGCCCTATGAGCTGCTTGTCAGCTGTGAAACAAAGCTGAAGCCATATACTGTAATTGATCCTTCACTGAACCTTTGTCTGAGATAATGAGCTTCCTGACATGCTGTATACAAATATGTTTCACCAGCTAATTCTGTTCTAAACAAACCTTTTGTCTTTTGTTATCTATACCCTATGTGGCTGTTTTATTCATTCTTAAATAATGTTACATTATAAGAAACAGTTTGGTATAATCAATATTACTTTTTTTTGTTCAAATGCTGTTGGTTTTAAAGTATATTCTCAAACCAGAGTACAGGCGTCGGTTGTTGATATCTTTATGAGTCTAGCCATGGTGGATATATTTTCTCCTGTTAGAAATGAAAATACATCACTTCCTTTGAAATAGCTGTTAGCAACAGAGATTAGCAAACTATTTATATGACTACTCTAACCTCTTGATCAGGATTTTAGTTTAGTTTGATTTAGTTGAAAGACTGGTTCACAATCTGTACTTACTCTTCATTTGTCTCGGGACCCCTCCTTCTGCCTGAGGGGCAGACATATCCCCGCCTTGACAGAGCAGCAGTGAGGACAGACCATGGCAGGCAAAAAGGGGGAACAAAAACAAAACAAACAAAAATGGAGAGAAACAGGTGGAGATAGAGCAGGTGAAAGAAGGAACGCGTAAACAGCAATGTACATTAAGAGGTTAAAGGGGAGAAAAATGATTGAGCAATAATAGTAGGACAGTGTTTGCTTGACAATCATGGAAATGAACAGTTTTGGTATATTTGTAATTATTACCAAAGGAGAAAAAGATTTGTTTGTCTTGTATGATTTCTTGCGTCAATTGTTTGAGGCCGATCCAAGGTTTCTCTCATCTTCCAAATATTTAATAAGTTACCTTGGGACATTTTCCTTGTCTTCTTTGAGGTTCATAATTTGTCAGGCTAGGCTAGGTTATATACATTTCTTTCATATGATGGTGTGTTGTGATCCGTTTGCTTCCAAGTGTGATATTTGTTATATAATTAATTAATTACTTAACTTTGTCTTGTTGTTGATTATTATCAGATCTTTCTGTCAAGTTCTTTGAAGCAAGAAGGGATCACACATGTTTTGGGCATAATCAAATATAACAACTTTTCAATTTTCAAAGCTCATTGGGTGAAATTCTCGTACTTAAATTGCGTTTTTGGAGAAGGACATTGCATTAATCAAACTGTCACATCTTAACCCACAATGAGGACAAATTCTTACAATCTAAACATTTTGCAACATGCATTTTCAAGCCTTACGGACAGTTCATTTTTACCAATTTACAATATTACATAAAAGTAAAAATGTCCTTGTTACTAGACAGCATGTATACGGTCCGATAAGAGCATCTGGGGCAGCGTGGGGCACTTAAGGAAATGGCTGAACACTAAACCAGTTCTCAGGGTAATGGTAGCCCTACATCATTAATTTATAATCTGTTATTTAGGATGCTAGGGTCAGACTCAACTCATCTTTACCCAGTGAGATTACACTGTGCCCATTAATACCAGGGGCTCTGCTTTCTAGGAGTAGAACAATGTGTATAAGCTTATTTAACTAGAAAAAAAGTGCATAAATGTATAGCTTTTTTCTTTTTTTAAGAACTTTCAAGAGATGTTTAGTGGCAGAATAAAGTAGTAAATGAAGAGAAACAAAAAAATGAAAGGATGGAGAAAGAGGAAAAAAAAATAGTAAATGGACACTCACTTCCTGATGAGGAAGAAGGACGTCTCTGGTTGGTGGAGGTGCTACTGGCAGAGTAATTCTGGGTGGTTGGCGTCTCTGGGGGAAGTGGAGGAGGCGGAGGGGGTGTTGGCGTCGGGTTGCTTGGGGGAAGAGGTGGTGGAGGTGGAGGCGGTGGGGGCACTACCGATTCCTGTGTGGTGCCATTCTCAGAGCTGTGGGCGGGGCCATCAGTAGGCTCCTCCAATAACAAGGAGCCCTGATTGGACAAGAGGGAGGGACGGAGCAGAATTAGTCAGTCATATTTTATGCCCATTAACTTGTTGTTGTAGTCACCCCTGCAGGGTTTCTCCTAGCAACCACATTGTTGTATTATTCTGTTTGCCAATATTTGGTCACTGATAACAGGGATGTGACAGGTGGCCCATGAAATTATGCTATCTACTAAAATTTAAACACCACTTGAACGTTGAGAATTAAAATCTCAAAGCTTTTTTTTGTCTCAGGTAATCATTGTCATTTTTCTTTTTTCATTTGTCAGCTGTATATTCTTAAAACATGTAAATAATGTTAACAAAATATATAATATTATTATAACAATTGATAATGAATTAACACAACAAACAGTTTACAAATAAGCTTATTTTTAGTAGTAGTAGTATTATTTTATTTATTAATTGAAAATAAACACAAAACAGTGACAGTGGATTTTCCTTCCTTTCTTGCATAGGCATGTCACTCCTGCTGGTTTAAGCGAGGCGTAGATTCCTGCACAGAGACTGTCAACAGTGACAGATGTACGCCTTATTAGATGTGTCCTCCCTCTGCTTCCTGCCGTCTTTAATCAACTCATAAAGACATAATACCCTAATAACAAAGCTAATATGACCTAATCTCTAGGGGGAAACTCTGAGGGAAAACAGTGAGAAGAAGCCATCTGTCACTGCAAGTGATAGTGCTTTAACCCCCACGCCCTGCACCCCCCAGCACGCACGTCTCTGACACGCTCTGAAAGCGTGCCATAACTCTGCTGGAAGCAAATTAATAGACTGTGACATTTAACCTCCACCCCGCCCCTTCTTCGTTCTTCAGACGCGTGCTCATCATTGTTGCCCCCTTTACTTTTCAAACCCCCCAGAGAGTTGGGGGAGGGCTGTGTCCAGATGGGTCTTGGCAGCACGTGCCGTTGCTTCCGTATGATTAGCCGGTCCATCTGCTAGAGTGCCTCTGAGACCAGGAGGGGCCCCACTGAGGCCTTAATTGGCTCAATGTGGATTGTACCCCGTATCACCCAGAACACCCCCACTCCTGATACCCATGAGATTATAAGAACACCTCTCCAGGGACATTGATGATTGAACAGACTATTAATTCAGCCGCTTGCCAAGTATTTGGCAACAAACGGGTAGTTTAACCAATAATCTTGGGGAGCACAATGAATAAATAATAATAATAATAATAATAAGGCGCATTCAGTTTTATATGTGTTATATGTGTGTTAACACTGATGATGCTTGGTGATGGGGGTCTATGTGTGTAGTATACTATGTAAATAACTGCAAAACTTAATTTCTTTATACAACCTTCTGTTATATAATAATAAATACATTTTCTTGATTGATTTTAGTGCCATATTCCCTTGCAATGTCTTTACCCATATATATGTTTAATGTGTTCTCACAACGTTTGCAGGTCTATTTTGTTAAAATTTAAATAACAAGCATTCATTGGTACAAATGGAAACAACTCATAAGGATTTAACAAGCTGTCACTAACACATACAACAGATCGCTGGCCATAGAAAAGAAGAAGTTAGAATAATGTAGTTTACTTTCTATGGGCAGTCTGGTCATTGATGACCTCCTGCTCTCTTGTCTGGGTTTGTCCTGACTTTGTTCCATAACAGGTTCTTGGACAGTTTACACAGTGGGGTGGCGACTCAAGAGGCAATGGAAATGAGGCTGCAGTTTGCATCAGGTGGCAAACAAAAGCTCAAGAGGACACAAGATTATGTAACATGCCGTGTGGCATAATGTATAGTCAAATAGTGCAGTCTCTGTGGTAACCTAATGCCAACACAACACCCAGCCCAACCTCACCCTGAATAAGAGCTTTTATAAAGGACTGAGATGACTACACAACCCTAAACATCACAAACAGAGCGAAAAGTATATTCAACTGTACTAGTAGCCAATAGTTACAGCCCTTTTACTATTGTTTTGTAATTTTGCAAACACTTTGCAGTGCATGCAAAATTAAATAGCAATACATGTAATAATTGATCTTAAAATGTAGTTTATTTACATCTGGTCTGAAATCAGCTGCTGCCTTAATGAACAATGCTTTTTGGGGTGACCTAGTTTTGAGAGATTATTTCCCAGTGGATGTCAGATGACTGACAGTGAACACAATAAAGCAGTTTGACCAACATGTTTTTTTTTTAATAATACACATTAATAGATTTCAGCAAATGCCATCTATAGGCAAAAAGTAGGTTGTGATATCTTTAAACTTAAAGATATCTACTTTAAAATAATGTTGGCATTTTTCGTTCAGTCATCAGGTCAGCACTCGTTTATTTATGGGTAATTAAGATACAGAGAAATAAAGGCTGACAGTTGTGGTAACATTTCTACATATAGCATTTTTACAGTATCGCAAGATATAAAAAGAAAAGTGTTTTGATGTGTTTGCTGAAATGTATTAAAATCTATAACATTGAACATATGGATGTCATAAAGAGCAGAGATCTGGCCTACCTCCTCGTTGGGCGCCATGCCTTTGCTCTCTTGGGGCTCGGCTGTGTCACTGCCCAACGTCTTGTAGTAGTCCCCAGTGCTGGGCTGCTTGCTGAAGCTCCTTGACTTCCTGTTTGAGTCAACGCGCCGCAGTTTGTCGTGACTTTCTCCAGGAATCAGCTGCTGGGATAAAAAAAATTAGCTTCACTAACTTCCATCTGCATGTTTTTCAAAATATAGTTTTGAATAGCACCTGATGAGTTGAAAATTATAAAATTAAAGAGAAAAGATATTTGTGAGAGAATTATACATTGACACTTTTTGTTTTTAGCACCTTTTTGAATATTTGAGTGAAATCAGAGGTGAAATGATTAATCAATTAATAGATTGGTCGAATGAAGTTGTCGGCTGTTTTGATGTCTGCATAACCAAACTGCCAACTTCTTAAATGTGAGGATTTGCTGCAATTCTTTGTCTTAAGTGATAGTAAGCTGAATATATTTGTGTATTGAACTGTTAGCCGGACAAGACAAAGAATCTGAAGACGTCCCTTTGGGCTCACACTATTTTCCGGTGTTATACATACATACATACATACATACAATACAAATTACAAGGCAGTGAATTTATTGTATGCAAAAGATGAATTAGTTACATTTTGTATAGTAATTTACAATTCATCTTGTGTTCATTTGTAAATAAGAAACAGAAGGTTAACAAAATAACCCAATCTTTGATCTTTTTTTAGAAATACTGAGTGGTGAATGGCAGGAAAGGGTTTTAAACAGTGCTTTGGGAATGAACTCCACATCCACACACTGTAAGTCATACTTAGTAGCTTTTGTTGCCAGATTAGTCCTCTCATGTGACCAAGGCAGCCTTATTTTAGTAACAGAACAAGGCTTTCATTCAGTTCCAGTAAAACATTAGCATTTATGTTTCATGTGATAACTGTGGGGCCACAGAACAGAGTTCAAGAGAACAAGAGCTCACAGGCAGCTTGTAAGAGAGACCCTCGTATCCACAGAGCAGGGTCAGAGGCCACTAACTTGGCCCTTTCAGTTGAGCCCTCTCACTTTCTGCTCTGACATCTCAGACAACTGAAGCTGTTAAGGGAGAATATCAAACTCATTCTCAGAGTCTTCACTGTATGCTGCTATTGGAATATATGTGGGTCGGACTTCTTACATTTATGAGGAACCCGACATTAACACTGGGAAGATGGATGGATGACTAACACGCTTCTTCTGGTCAATCTGTGCATATATTTCCCTAATGCAAAAAGCCTCATATTTGCATTTGGTACTCGGCTCGAAACGCTTTGCATTCCTAGGGATAACTTAATTAAGAATAACTTTTTTCCAACAAAGTTTATCACAAAAATAAATGCAAATGTGAAAAAAGAGCCTGTATATTTTCAAAAAATAACCACGAAAGCTGTCAACTTCGACATGCATGCTGTTTTAGCTAAGTGTATAGTTACTTTGCCTTTCAAATCCAGGGACCAGCATCAGACTTGCATTCATTTACATTTTAATGCTTAAAGACACCATGATGTTTCATGAAATCCAGACAAGAGCCTGAGACGTCAAGCAGATGTAAATGTAAGCGGAAATAATTGACAGCTGACCCCTGACCTCTCCTCCCTTTGTGGTGTCATGTTCTGAGTTCTTATAAGCCTGTTGAGCTTTGTTGACTCATGTCTGCTGTCAAAGAAATGGTCCCTGAGCACTCATCAGGTGGGATGGTAATGTGAGCCGGGGAGCACTACAGATGGTTTGATTGTCATCCTCCAGGGAGGTGGGCCAACAATAGCAAATGTACAATATCCATTTAGACAGACACACACAGACAGCCAGCCTTCCTTCCCATTATATGGACCTGTCTGTTAGCATAAGCCATTCTTATACAGTGTTTTTTTAGAGTCTAATGGGTTTGTATGCATTATCAGAGGTTGTTTGTCTGCTTGCAGTTTGACAAGGGTTAGGACAATTGCGCATGGTTTTTGCAAAAGCCTCAGGTTATTAAAGCTCATGCACAGGTAGTTTGTGTCATTTTAAAATAGTAAAACGTTTCATGCATGCTTTACAACATCCTAATATAACAGAAAGGCAAAGGAAACTACACAATTAAAACATGACAACCAATGCTAAACATTAAATGCCCAGCCACATAGCAGCTCAGTCAGCTCCAGAACCTGGAGACTAGCCAAAATATCCAAAGCAACTTGTAATATCACAGGTAAAAACTTTAAAAAATCTTTCTTACTCTTCTCAACACCTTACCTTCGCGTTAATAATCCTCTCCTGCAGCCTTTCTCCAGTCGGGACAGAGCCTCATCCACAAAGACCAGCAGAGCACAGAGAGTAGCTGTCACCAAATCCAGAGCGTCAACTCCTCTCCGCTCTGAGCTACGCCTGTCACTCTACCTGCCCTCTCACTTTACCCACAGGCCTCATCAATAATCAGGCTGGCCACAGCAGTAGCAATGATGTCACCACCAGTCCGCGGACCAACCACTCCCCAACCCTGTCCTGTGCCTCTTATGCAAAACACAAAGACCGAGGTGCTGCCCTCAACATGGCCAACCACACTCAAATCTCTCAAGCTTTAGCAGTATTAGAATACTCAAGCCCTCAATACCCCGAATTAGCAGTAGAAACATATACTAATCACGGCTGAGATCTCAAAGTCCAGGTTTTCTGGAGGGACTACAGTATGTCTAAAGTATAAAAATATCCCCAGAGTCAAATGTTTCGTGCAGCTGCCTCACAGGAAACATTTGACTTCAGTCAAGGCAAATGCAGACAAATTAGGTGAAAGAAGAAGAAGCATCAGCAGCAGCAACAGCAGAGAGAGAGAGGAGCGACAGCGAGAGCCTATATAGTCCTAAACAAAACAAACCTGATGCTTCCTTCACTTACAACTGCACTTAACAGGTTTCCTACACTGTTTTCTAGCTTTAATAGGTCTACACGCTGTGAGATTGGTCCATCTGATCGGCTGTGTCCTTGGATGGGGTTACTGTTCTGTTACTATGGCGCCCAAGGTAGATTGTTTTTCCCAATGTATATGGTGCACACTGATCTTAATTGTGTGTGTTTGTGTGTGCATGTGTTCCGAGCACTGGCTTTGGTTAAATTGTTAATGAGGGCGCGCCCCGGGCTGGTCACCTGGGTACCAGCCCAGGGTGAGGGAGTGGAGAGAGAAGAGGGGGTGGCACTAATTAAAAACTCTCCCCCATATGGCTGATGGCGCATGCATGCACACACACACAAACACACAGATAGAGCTGTCCCTGGAGACACTACCAGTTAACAACAACTGACTTGTATAGCAGATCTATACACACAGACTCTTTCTTTCTGTCTGAACTGGTTCTGCAGCTCCCTGGTTTATACTGTATCTCTGCTTTTAAATGAATCGGTACAGCACTGATAGCCTTTAATTAGGCCGATCAGGAGGGTATGCCATTTGACAATTACTATAAAAACATTATTTCAGACAATATTTAGCTTCTGTTATTTTTGCAGAAATCAATTAAAAAGGATTGCACATTTATGGCCAAGCTACAGCAACATTTTTTATACAACTGGACAAAGACTTGTGTCTTGTTGTTGTCAAACCTGAAGAGAGGGTAACAGTCAGGAAATAAAATCTTTATGAGGTGAAAGTAATCTCTTGTCTGTCTTGGTTATCTTTGTCATAATTACAATGTTCTCTGAACAACTCTATTACAATTCAGTTAGAATAAAAACTTCACGACCAGTTTTAATGTACTTCGCAGCATTATTGAACCACCAGAAGCAGCACTGAGACAAATGTTTTAATTGCTGCTCCTTGTCAGCTCTTAAACCAACTTTTGAGTGATCTGAAGCCAGATTAATTACTAAAATTAAAATCAAACCCATCACAACAACCATTGTGTGTGTCAACCCAGAGGACCTGCCGCAGTAATGAGAATTTTTGTTAGCCTCGTTAGCCATGCTAAAACAATAACATCATTGTGGGGGACCCAGACAAGGCACATTGTTACACCAAAGCAATAGGCCAACTGATTAGACACGAGGGAAAATAGCAGCTGATGGCCAATTTATCCCAAATACCTGATCCTTTTTCTTCTCCTTACTCTGAGAAATGTTATTTTCCCCAAAACTTAGTATATCTGCTCTTAATAAAATTCAGGGAGAATGTATGGGATACAATTATCTAACCTATTTTTTGTCTGTTTGCTTATCTTCATAAGCCAGAGGTATATTTCTGCGCAGTGGAACGGTTTGATGGACAAGCACAAACAATGATCTAATAATAAATTAAGAAATTATTTAAAGATTTCCCTCTAGATGAGTCAATCTTTGCACAGCTCTGAGGCTCAACTTACAAATGGATTCATCTTTTGAACTCAAGTTGGAGTGCAGTCCTTCTGTGCTTACCTCCTTCTTGCCGGTGTTGCTCTCCACGTGCCGCAAGTTACTCTTCACCTTCAGGAACTCAGCTGACGACGGCTCCTTAGGGGGCTGTGGTGCTGGGTAGCTTGGGGGTGGAGGGAGTGCCGGGGGAGACTGTGGGGGAGGTGGTGGTGGATAGGCTGGTGGTGGCGGGGGCTTGGAGACGGCATCGGCAGGTGTCTCATTCTTCTTGGGCACGTCCGAGCTAATGTCTGGGTTAAGCATGTCCATATACGCCTGCATGTCGGAAATGGCTGATTCTGATGCACCTGTATGACAAAAGACATGTTGGCATGTTCACTGATGATTTACTGAGTTCCTCACAGGTATACTGCTGATTCAAATTAACAAAGCAATGCATTAGTCGTAAACCATTCAACATTTTATTTTTTCTCCCAAATACACAGCTCAGTTCAAACATTAAATGAGAAAGATGTGTTACTCTAATGATGGTCCACCTCTCCATCCAAACAAACTATTTGCACACAGACCACTAGGGTGCAGCACCAGTATATCATGCACCTGTGACATGTGTAGGCAAACGTATCCATGATTTTAGCTCCACAGTAAATAGATGAGGGCTCCACTGTTGCTGAGATGCTGTATTTGGCATGTTAGATATGGCATTCAAGAATTTATGACTTATGACTGAAATACTTAAGACAGCAAAACTTATTTCATCTAACATTCTGATTATGAGCTGATACAAGATGTATTTGACTATTGAGATATTGAGCCTTTGACATTTTAATTTAGAAACTAGTGTAAAAAGTTTATTATGTTACTACATGTGTTGCATACCTGTGTGTGCGACTGTGTTTAGCTGAGTGGGCGGCCCTCGTGACGTTGTCAGGCTGCTCCTTTTCTCCCCAGTGCTGGACTGGCTGGAGTTGGCTGAGTCGTAGTTGGACAACGAGCTGGATGGGGAACTGATGTCAAAGTGTGCTGCCTGGCTGGTGGGGGGCATGGTGGTGTTTGGGGACGAGAGGCCCGAGTCCGGCTGCTTGTACTCGAGGTCCGTTGACGGGTCCCGAGACAAAACACGGTGCTCCACACTCTGTTGGAGGATGCAGTTCATTAATATAAGTGTCAATGCATCTGTTTTGTTGAACTGTCCAATATGTGGATATGATGTACTATAGTACAAACAACAAAACCATGAGTCTATTAATGAATTAATTCCTAAGTAATTGCTCACTATTAAAACATGTCTGGTTCATTTCATTTAGATGTAAAAACATACAGTGGCGCTACACGAGACAGATAAATGAATTATTGTTAACATGAATTATGTACTTGTTCATTAATGAGTTTTGAAATCCCACGACCTCTCACTCCCTGATGACTTACATGAGGAGTACAGCATTATGAGTTTAATTACTACACACTAATGAAACATCTCACAGCTGATCAGAAAGGCTCTGGGGCCCTCTGCTTTTCCCACAGTGCAGCACTCAGTGGGCTGAATGTCCCTGCTGGGAGGAGTACAAGAGGGGGGAAATATGTTTCCCACATACCAATGAGAGTTCAGTGTGGAGGAGTTATTATTCCTCTGGCCACTTGGGGATTTCAGCTGGTTGAAGCTGTGGAGGCCACTGTATGTGAAGTGTTAATAGCTCTGGTAATTAGCAGAGATAAACTGTTGTCAGTCAAGGGACATGTTGGCTCAGCGACAGCTGCAATATCCACATCTTGACATTTTCCGTCTTGGCAATATCTGTGTTTTCCTTTGTTGCATTTTAGCTTCAACTAAATAGGAATTTAAATTATTAATTATTATTATTATTATTATTATTAGACTATTCTAAATCTAATATGTTGCAGAATTTGGACTACAGGATGGTCATGTAGTCACTATAGCAGACATTATAACTCATTATAATTTCATGCATAGCAGGATGAAGCGGAACATTTGTGCTATTGAACACATCCGGTCCTTCACGAATGTTCTCTGACTAGAACAAATACTGTCTGTTGTCTTGTTTTGAAATGCAAGAGTAGATCTCCCATTAGACCAATTAGTGTTCGAAAAAGGAAAAAACACATCAATAGGACATGTGTCTCCAAGTTTGATGAGAACCTAACCAGCAGTGTCTCAGATATTGTGTAATCGTTTGACAAGCAAACACAGAGTCATCTTAAGTTGATCGTTAAAATGAAGTCCACTTATGATGCAAATTATGTAAATTATGAACAGTTCAATCAAAGAGTGATATTTTCTTACATACTTTTATATCTTATGTTTTAATCATTTTGTGACCCCTCAGATTTTTCGTGGGCCCCGTTTGGGATCCTGACACCCATGGTTGGGAACCACTGACTTCAAGAGTGGTTTACAATTCAGTAATTCAGGAGACGTTTTTGGGAAATCAAATCTGTCTGAGATACAGTTCATGATGTAGAAATAATTCAATGTTATATTCCATTAATATTGGTATTATAAGATGTAAAAGTATTTAAGGAACCTCCAATAATTTGATCTAAATCCTGCTGGAATCAAATATTTCTGTTATAAAGGATGTATGTGTGATTAATGTACAGCTTCCTTAAGTAGATAGAATAAACTATACCTATTTTTTTTCTTATGTATGGCTTATCTCTTAGAATTATGTAGACTAAAATACTTTGATCCTTTTTGATCCAGCTGTCTCTTACCATGTTCTCCACAGTGCGCAGATACTTGGCACACTGGGAGTGGCCGTTATATTCAGCCAAGTCTGCTGCTGTGAAGCCATCCTGGTCCCTGATGCCCAGGTCCACCCCATTGACCACAAGGATCTGACAGCACTGGAGAGTGACATGAGAGAGAGGAGACAGGAGACAGAGAAAGTGGTCAAAGGTATGAAGAAGATGGAGGAAATGACAATTGTCTGTGAAAGTGACTGCTGTGCTTAAAATCAGCTGCAATCAGTTCAAATGAATCCAATTTACACAAAAACCTCTACAATCATTAGTTATTACGGTATAAAAAGTTGGTATGAGAAAAAGTTTGATATGCTTCCCTTCAGTGATTCCTAAATTATGTGGGAAACCTTCCTCTTCCTGTCTAAAACAAAGCATTTCTGTTTGTTAATCAAAAGAAACTTAAACAGTCTTGAACCACCCCCTTTGTCAAGTGCCAGGTGGAAACCAGACTAAGCTTGTTGATCTAAGACTGAGCAAGCTTTGTGTTGCCAAATTGACTCGTGTTTCAGTTAGCTTCTTAATGTTCTCTCCAGACCAAAATTTGGACCAGCACCCAGTCAGGGTTTGTGTCGATTCCTTTAGAGTTCAATTTTTAAACCCTTATTATGCAGTGCAAATGCTAATTTTTTTCTATAATACATCAAACCTGTGCTGAAACAGCCGTCTAAACGGACTTGGATACAACAAAATGTTAGTCAAAGTAGTAGGTCAGATTGGTGGTAGATCCAATAAGCCAGTGCCATTCATTCAAAACAGATGGTTCAGTATGGATATGTGAGCTCCAAGAATCACAATGCGTCCACTTAACTTGTATTAATGTAGTTTACATAAAATTGTAGTTTTTAGGCTACATCATCTCTGTGATTACTCAAATTGCCATTATTATTAAAAAGTATCAGGACAGTTCGTGACAGGTACAAAGTCACTCCACTGTTTAATTAAAAACCCACAAATAAAATATCAAACACCAAATCTTTCTTCAGAAAGCCTTTAAATTCCAATATTAACATGCTATAATACATTTCAACTGTATTACTTGACTTTTGAGCGGTAATTGGCAAACTAATACCAAAACTGGAGAGAAAGGCTCTATAGGTGATTCAAAGACTAGTTTGACGAAAAACTGTGGGTTTTAATGTAATGAACTATAACAGATGGGCATATATAGTAAAACAGCCTTATAATTGCTTTATGAAAATCATGCAAGTAAGTGCTCCTTGTTTCACTGCCTATGCTAATACAGTGGCAAAAGGAAGAGCTGTATTTACCTGTCTTCTATTCCACAGTTAATTCCAGTCTGACTGAGCAGAAATAAGTAAAATATAAGGCACACACACACACACACCGACCTCCAGTTCACCGTTCTCTGCGGCGTCGTGAAGCGGGGTCCCTCCCCAGTTGTCAGTGACGATTTCTCCGCCATGCAGCAGCAGCCAGCTGAGCACCTTCGAATGACCCCGACTGGCTGCAAAGTGCATGGCCGTGGCCCCGTCACCATCCCTGCCTGCCAGGCTGATCTCCGTGAAACTCATCTAAAAGAGGGGAACATAACGACACAGTCATCTTTTTAAAAGATTAGGGATTAATGAAATCTGTTTTTTGGGGGGAAAGTAAACAATAGAACCTGGTAAGGACACATTTTTTTAACAAATGATAAAGCAGTAAAAGTAGAAAGTTCATTTACATTTTATCTGATTTATGGAATAAGAATGCATTGAGTATGGGATGGTGATCTAGGAATCAATCAGTTTACTCTGTATTTATTAACTAGATTTGATGAATAGAGTCCTGACATTCCAACATACTAGCCAGACGATCACTGTGTTGTGGCCCATCTGGGCAGCTGCATGCAGAGGTGTCATCCCGTCATTGGCTCTGATGCTCGGATCTGCCCCACAATCCTTGACCAGGTATTGGACGACCTCCAGATGACCCTCCTGGCAGGCCAGGTAGAGCGGCGTGGCACCATTCTTAGTTTGGGAGTTGACAACGCTGTAGGGAAATTAAACAATAAGGTAAATTATTTCTATATTGGAGCTTGTTTCTTTCATCACTGAAGCCTAAATGGTTGGGTAGAAAGAAGAGTTAATTGTTCACCTAATATTAACGTTCAAGACTGCATCAATAAAATTGTAAGTGTAAGTATCATTGTACAAATGACTGACTTGACTGACTTCAGTCATTTCACCCGTTGCCTCAACTATATATTTAATAATGATTCTTTTGATTAATATTATTATATTATATTATTATACATTATACATATTATTTACACATACAGTATCCTTAAAGTACAATGAAAGCATTGATTATTTTCAGAAATCTTTCTCTAGCCTAATATATGAAAGAGAGCTTCGGTTTCAAATGACAATGCAACATTTGAATTTAATGCAAAACCATTACGCACACACTGTCAAAAAAACAAAACAAAACCTCTCTGTTGTCGTGCCTAGAAAAGGTCACATTCAATAACATAAGTCACTTCGTTCATGACTACAGTTTGTGCTTCCTGTAAAAATGGCCCATTTAATTCGTAAACACAAGATTTAAATTCTAAAGGATTGTGTTTCACCAACACGATTGAGTTCTTAAAGTTTTTCTGCATTGATCCAGACTGGAAAAATCTTTTTTAGTCAAGAAGCCAAAGAAAGATACATTAGATCAACAGATATATAGGAATCCAGTGGCTGATTCTTGTTTGGTAGTCTCAAGTGCTGCCATCATTACCGGGATGGCTGAGTGGAACTTTTACACTGTCAGTGAAAGCAGAGATGCTTAATTATGGTCAGCAGCTAAACTCAGATGTGTCAGATGAAGATAGTCTGTGTGAATGTGCAAGTTATTCAGTCTACACAAGGCTGAACTGACTGGCATTGTGTGAAACTTCTGTATGAGGTTGCTTGTGAAATCCAGCAGGTTTTACTTGCTGTCTTATGATTGCTACATGATTCCTTGCCTCGTGTTTAGATGCAGTGTAATTAGATCATGTAATAAAAATCGGAAACACATGACACTGTAAAGCGGAATTTTGGTGAGGATAGTTCAATACTACAAATAATTTAAAATACCCATTCATAATTAGGCAATACACAAATTGTGTGCTACTCAGAAACTGTAATCAGATCTTTGTTTATACTGTTTTCATCTGTCTGACAGAAACAAATGTTTTAAGGTTGAATGTGTAAATGTAGTCTGAAGGCAACAGGTAACTGTGACAGGAAAACATCCCTTAGTCAATGTCAACATACGGCTAGTAGTGACGCTGAGCCAAATCCTGCTCCCCCTTTTTTCCGAAGGCCCATAGCCCCTCCCATTCAAAAGCTCATCCAATACCTGTATCCCTCCACGTCCCAGATCTTTTCAGTCACAGCGGAATGTCAGGGAATGAACAAGTGCTTCCCAACTAAATCCCATAAGGTTGTGCTTTATTTGGACACTGACAAATGAGCAGCGAGTCTCCTAAGAGGATTATCACTCCCCTGGCTTTGCCCGACATGCTTTGTGCTTAATGAAGGATTGTCAGTGGCCAAGACAGACAGAGTAGGTGGAGAAGAGCGGAAAAGGTGAGGGAAATGAAAGGCATGGCTAAAGTGGACAGGTGGATCTTGTAGACACAAACATGACCCTGCCAAACTTTCCCTCAAAAGGATGTGGCTCAAGGCCAAAACTGTGGTGACTAAAGACCCTGCATTAAACCAACACTTAAGGATTTATCTGCTTATGATCAGTCATGTCCTATCTGGAGCCAGATAAGGTATGCACATTCTTAAAATAGCATCTCTGGAAATTGTAGGCATACCATACATTCAGCCAGAAATATGCCAATGTTTGAGAAAGGCTTGACTTTCAAGAAAAATATTTGTCCGGGCGATCGAGGGAAAGGTTCCAAAAAACAAACAAACACATCTTAAATATTTCATAATAAAAGGGGGATGTAATCTGTGGTTCTGTCATCATGAAGTGGGCAGACAGGTTAATAATTCACGAGTGTAACCAAAGTGGGCTGATGTTCACCTGCTCACCGGGGTCTGTGTAGAAGAGAAGCTTACATTTGTCATTAATCCTAACCACAAATGTCCCGAGAGTGACAAGAGTTCAGAGTATTCGAGGCAAGGTAAGGTAAGGATATGATTGTAACAAAGCACACACTGCCTTTGTCACAACTCTCCAAAGTGAAGAGGCTTGAACACTACACTAAAGAAGTGCTTTTGGAGAACAGGTGTAGATTTCAAAGAGCTAAGAAAGAGGTTAGCCTTGTGTGACGACAGAGCTAGCAAGTGGCACAAGGGGCGCTACCTTGTCAGTCACTTTGTCACTCCAAAGAGAAAAAGAGAGACATTTGATATATTTCCAGTTCAGCTCTGATGAGTAATTTACCTCAGTAATTGTGTGTACACCATCCGTTCCCTCCCAAATATATGCGGTAACAAAGGCCAAGGTCTTCATTACTAGCGAAGTAATTGATGTCACACTAATGGACTTCTTGCCTGATAAAGGCTCATTAACTTCTCAATGGCTTTTCCCTCTCTAAATAATGAAGAGTGCTGTGGGAGGATTTATGTGCTTTATTCAGTTATGTGACCTAAGTTTCTTGTGTATGAAATTTTGAAAGATTTGACATGTTCCATTACTTGGCTCTATATCTTCTTTTAGAGGTTATGGTAGCTGTTGACAGCAGACCCCTACAACTACAAGAGGACAACAGCATTAAAACACAGGGAACAAACCTGTAAGGACACACATGGACATTTGATGTGGTCATACATAAGAAAGACATTTCAGAGTATATTTCCCACTCAAAACTACTAGATAGACTTATGTTAACCTCTATATCCAAGCTTATTGCCTTTTTATGTAGTGAGTTTTGAAACGTGTAGAGTAGCATGTTCTTCCCTTGTTCTTGATAACAATACAAAGTGTACGGTTTTAACACTGTGGGTACTTTGCTCAACAGCATCTTAACATGGCACCTTACACCTTGCATTTTCTCAGTTTAAACCTCTTGTCGTAAAAGAGATCAGAAAGGGAGTTTTATCCAACTTGTACCAAGAAGTTATTAAGAAGATTAGTGCTGACGAAAATAAGTGCAGCTCAGCCATTCGTTGGGTGAAAAACTCTACTCACCTATTTACCCCTTGCTCTCCATGTCTAAACTTAACGGCACCTCACTTAATTACTCAACTTAACATCTCAAAGCTTAAAAGATCATAACTGAACCTCTCTAGAAGCAACACAAATGGCCGTCAGAGAAGAAGCAGAGAGGGTGCTCATGCTGAGACTATACTCCTAGTGTTTATCATCTTCATCATCATCTTAGACTGGTGATTTTCCTGCAAGTCCGCCCTGTGTGTTAACATGGCTGACATTATCCTAATGCAGAGGTCCACCCTTCTAAACTGCATGTTGGAATTATAGTTTGGCCAAAGATCTTAATCTGCACTAATTGATTACATAACCTGTCTTTGGCCTCTTTCTCTCTCACCCTTTCTCATTCATTCACTCTTTTGTTTACTGCGGCTATCAGCAGGGACACAGCACACGAGCCTGTTGGTTTTGGTTCCCTGGGATGGACAGGAGAACGAGCTACCAATTCAGATGTAGCTTATAAATCTTAACATACACCAAGATATCGGGGAAAGGGAGCCACATCTGTGCTGTGCCAACTGTAACACAAAAGACTGATTGCTTGATAAGTACAACATTGGAGACAAGTGAATGCTGCTCACGCTTTATGGTCAAACCTGAGTACTTGTCTTCACTGCACAGATGACCTCTGACCTGTGTTCATCATTCAAAAGAAAACTAATCTGCTGTGTGTTACATTTGTAAAACCTTTATCCAAATACAATAACAATACAATAAAGAAAATGCATGCGCAAACCTGCACTGGCCTTTCATCACATTGTGCGCATGTATTTCATGTTATATTATATGTAGTTTTACTATATGATAGTTCTACTTGTGAGTTTTAGTGGTTTTAGTTGCTCTAAATACTGCTCAATAAAATTCCTTCTAGCTCCTTGAATCTTCTGTATGAAAAAGACTGGATAAAGAAAATACATATCAAATATAGAGTAAAAGGTACTGAGCTTTAAACATAGAGTATGTAATTTTCTGCCACTAGGGGGTCTTTCACATTAAAACAATAACTAAAGACTAGTTTGAGGATGTTAAGTAGAGAAGGATCATGGGAGTTGTTGTCTACATTGTCAAACAACCATCATTGCTGAAAATCTATCTCATGTGACTCCTCACTCTCTGACCTATCCCATGTTTACCAGAGGCTCTGTTTCCATTGCCTAAAATATATAACATAGGTCGTTTTTTATACATTTTAATGTGGAAATGTGACAATTTATATCTTTAACCCTCAAACCAGCCTACCAGTCTATATCGGTCGAAGCCTGGGTGGAAGTAAGAGGTCTTTTTCTCGAGGCTGTGTTGGGGTTAATAGGGTGAAATAAAACTTAAAGATCCAGTGTTTAACATTTGGGATGATCTACAACATAATATTCATAGATATGTTTTCATTAATGTGTGTTCATTAATGCTGCAAACAGAAACGGCAATAAAAGTAGTTCAAATGTAGTTGGTGTAACTTGTTCACCGTTATCTACCTGTCAGTGTGTGTACTATTACCTCTGTGCAGCAACACTCTCATTACATTGTACCATCAATAGGCTGCAAGTTACTAAAGTGGTGATGTAACCGAGGGGGTCATGTTGTCCTTGTGATTTTTCAAGTAGAACAAATTCTGTGCTGTCCAATTACCTCTTAAAACTCACCAGTACAAATTTGCAGCTTGTAATAAACCCTGAAACAAGAATGTTATCTCTCTCCTGCAATGTACCATTCCAAACAATGCCTGAGGCTAGTGACTAGAAAGCAGCCCATCCATTCAAACGGATTTGTTTTCTTCATTATCTTATCGCTGGTTGGTGCTACTGTGTGTCGCCATGGAGATGGGGGTAAACAGCAACAGTGGGAGTGGTGGTGGAGAAGAGTGAATGGGGCCCTGCTATCAGGGAGCTACCATGTCCCTGAGGCTCATTAAATTTTCAGCAGCTCTGCACCTGTCTGGGGTGCAACCGGACAATATTGGAGGTGCAGAGCACAAGGTTAGTGCCCAGACAAGCTGCTCATTCTGCTAAGGTTATCACAGTCAAAGCAATTTGACAGACAAGGCTGTTTAGCTTAAAGACTAAGTTTATTACATTTCTATTTCTTTATGGCAGCAGTTAGCGAGTAGACACCAGCCGAAGAACATCAATCAGCTCATAGGTTATCTCCATATTTTCCTTTTGTATTATTTTATAACCGGACAGGTGTTGCTATAAATGATACTAAACTGAAAAAAACAAATAAGGCCAATAGTCTGGGCTACTTAAAGTTAGCCAGAGGGATCTGTTTGTATACTAAATTCACTTTAATATCACAGAAATAGAAACAACTAATTTAAATTCAAAAAGGCAATATGGTTTACCACTCTCTGTAGGGAGTCTACAGCCATGCTGTATGTGGCATTCACAATGATCTGATGATAAAACACTACACTCAGTGTACCTCTTCTCTCTGAATCATACACAAGCTGGTTAACAACTGTTGATACTGATGCTGCCAAATCTGCACTTACAATTGCTGCATTATGATCACACACCTTATCGCAGTCAAAACCAAATTTTATGGTGTTTGCTGTAGACAGACCTACTGAGCTGGATCTAATCGAGCCTCCTTTTTTTGCAGATATTACCTGCAATCAACCTTGCTGCCTATACAGTCTGTGGTGTTGTATCCTGTAATTACAGCTCTGTGTGCTCAGTGCTTCTTCCCAGATGGGACAACAACAGTTGTTCTAACACCTCAACCGTGTCCATTGCAATGTAATGGTCCATGAGGGTGTTATCTCTACAGGGCACTGATTAGGGATGATATTCATCAAAGTGTAATCACACACACACACACACACACACACACACACACACACACACACACACACACTTCTTACTAGAGCAGCAACAATTAGTTAATTGACAATGAATCGGCAACTATAATATTGACAGTTTGCTGCTTTTCCTGGTCTTGCAACATAGTAAATTGTATATTTCGGGGTTTTGCACCATTTGTCAGACATTATAAGAAATTTGAGGATGTAATCTTCTGCTCTTGGGATGTTGTGACGGGTTTTTGTCATAATTTCTGATGTTTTATAGACCAAACAATTAATTGATTAATTGAGAATGAAAATGGTTGGTAGTTGCTGCTTTACAACATACTTAATTCTGCTACTGACAGTTGTTGAAATTGCTGTCATGCAGCTTTACAAACTTGTGTCAAGATGTATTACATAAGCGGCACACGGGGGTTATGGTAATGTGCAGTATTTTGGGAAAGTTAAACCACTTAGAGTTTTTTTCTAAATGGTATTTGAACACAAAGTATTTAGATTGCTTCACTAGTATCAAAAGAAGCAAAGTTCAAGTTGTTTGCCACCAGTGCCAGATGGTGCTGCAAATACTACCAACAGTACCTACAGTACGATCCCAAAACTGATCTACTGACCAAAACTCCTGCCAGTCACTCCTCATTTGTTTGATTAGCATCTGAGGAGAAATAAGAGTTGACTTGTTGACCTCTGAAATCGGCTAGGTCATTTTTTCAATATCAGACTACTAAAGTGCCATCAGTCTGAAATCTGAATCTGAACAAGGAACTGCTGCACCCTGTCTCAGTTACAGTAGGAGAAAACTGACGAGAGCCTTCAAAAATACAAGCTGTCATAGTCTAAATGCTCTTTTAGAATCTGCAGTCTTTGCAGATGAAGGACAGCTGGTAAATATTAATATACAAGTTACCAAATTAAATAACTACCAGACGACAACAACAAGATAATATCAACAACTTCTGAATCACACAGGCAGTTGGCTCAGATTTTGAACACAGTGAAAGGAAGCTCACAGGCTGCTGCAAAGACCGAACCATAATGCTCTTACTTTGGGCTGTGCCCTAGCAACAGTCGGAGTGAGGGCAGGTCTCCCTTGGCAGCAGCGTAGTGAACAGGTAGGGCACCTGTTTCTGTGGAGGCCCCGGGGTCCACCTCACCGCTCTTCAGCAGCCAGTCAGTGACCTCATGGTGACTGAAGCGGGATGCAAGGTGAAGAACAGTGGCACCAGAACTGTCCCTTTGCTGTTGATCAAACAAAAGAGCAATAGAGCTCAAATATGGAATTCTGAAATAACATTTCTCATTCATTTTTTAAATTAAAAGGGTTATTTCATGGTACCAAATAGTAATAAAAAGAGGTAAACTATGAGATTTTGAATCAACTGTAAAACTGTATGTTCTTGTAGAAGAAAATGTCCAACCTATTTAAGACTTGAACTGGTTGACATCCAGAGACCAGAGCAAAGTCATGACTGGTGCTGCTCCACCACAGCTCATGTTAGGAAATAGATGTTGTTACTGGCTACTATTATCTTTGAATGTGTTCACAGCTGAAATGAAGGGAAAAGGAATTGAATCGAACTTTCTGTGCAATGTGAGATGAATGTGTCATATAATGTTTTCATGAAGGTCTATGTTTAGTGTGTATACAGTAGGTTTGAATGATTCTGCTCAACAGGAGCAGGCGTATTTGAGAAAGGAAATTAGTCAATGTTTAAGTCATGTATACATTCATAATTTGTTTGTGAAAACAAACAGCATTATTCTATCTTTGTATATCATTTCTAAGCAGCATAGACTAATGATTGCACTCAAATCTGCAGTATAATAAACTGAACCACCAAAAAAGTCAAATATTAAAGCCACAAATACATTTCATAAAGTTGTTATTGATTAAGAAAATGTTTAAATTATGTAAAAGACACACAGATCTCAGCTTTTACAACTCTCTCATCCAACTCTGACTTGAAAAAGACATGGGTTACAGCCTCACGTTCCTTAATGTGTTTATTTGTAACGTACTCATTCTTTGTGTCAAGAGATGGACCAATATCTAATACAGATAATATGAAAAAAATGTATTTGCATGCTCCTTGGATATATGCATACTAATATTCAAGTCTTATCAACAAAGCAGCCAAAGCTGTAGGCTGAGGCAGTGGAGTGCCACAAATGAACATCATTAGCATCAGATAAACCTGGATCAGAGTGCAGTAGCACAAAGCAAAAGACACAATACTGAAAAGTGGAAGCTAGCATTGACCATCCATCAAGTAGATTGCACTGCAAGTGGTAATTGATAGGTTTTACTAAATGTCAGCCAGGTAGCTTATCAGTTAGTTGGTAGCGTGGGCCGTTCTTTGTCACTCTTCTGCGCTCTGTCAGGCAGCCTTCTGAAGTAATGGAGACAGTAAATAGAAGATGGAGCTCTTATTACTGCGTTTCAAATTTAGAATCACACATTACTGGAGGTAAGATGGAGTGATTGATTGACTCAAGTTTTTGGTACTTTTGTTTGCGTTATGTTAGTCTAATTAATTTTTTAGTAAGAGAAGACATAATATGCCTGACCCAAAGCATGCTGGGATACCCTGCAGCATACCCTGCATAGTGTCAGCAGGTTACTAAAGCGAAACAACATATTATAGAAAAATACTGGCATTAGCGGCACAGCAGAATATAAAGGCTAAAAGTGTTGGTGAGTAAGTACATATAATCATAGTGGTACATTATATACCTCGACTGTCTTACAGCTTTCACTAAGACTTGCTCGCTGCATTCCTTTCCTGGTGTGACATGGGAATGATGTAACGTGTCATAAGGGCTCATAAGGTTTAATCCATCATGTGAAGGTTAAAACCACAGTCCTTATTAAACATCTTCTCTACTGCCATATCAAACTACACTGTCACTATGTATTTCTCTGCTTGTGCCCTTCACCAGTTACTGTCCGGCTGTATAAAGTATATTACATTTGCAAATACAGTTTTGCATACTTGATTGCTAGGCAACATGAGGCAGTGCAGCATAGCGGTGTTTAAACTGAAAGTCTGAGGAGTACTCTCACATTGTCTAATGCCTAGCAAGTTGCATGTGAATTAAAATGTATTTCTATTTGTTCAGAGTGTTAGCACAGGATGCATTTTTTAAGATGTCAACAAAACAGCAACAGAAAAGCTCTCAGGCTGTTGTAAATATCTGATGTTTAGTTTATGTTTTTCAGTCAGACGGCTGTAAGGTCTCCATGTGCTGATGTCTCTCAAAAGGTATTGATGCTTAATCTGTTATTGGGGATGTTTTACACACAGTTGACCTCTTGGAGGAAGTTTACTTTTATCATCACCAAACCAATAACTGCTCACCGCTCCAGATAAAATGATTCTAGTTTCACAGTTTCAGAACATTTGGGTGAATTAAGTGAATTAATGGTGTTATAATTAGGTTTAAACCACATTTATTAGCCTTTTAACTGACAACTTTTGGAAATGTCTCTCTGAGGAGTAACTGAGGTAAAAACTTGTACAATGTATTTGAAACAGCTATTTAGGGTTCAGTTTTACTTAAATGAATCCTAATTTAAATAGACTGTAATGTATCTCCTCAATGAATAACAGCAGATGGGTCACCCTGCCTCCAGGATCTGCTGTACCTGTTGAATGTTGTTTCAAACGCTTTTTCACTTCCAACTGCAAAGTCTGTAGGAAAACACTGAATATGTGTAGGCTGTCCTTTTAGGTTCTCTTACACTGACATTAGTTCAGATATACCCCAGATCAACTGCCAAGTTGGTGAGGAGAAAGGGAGATTGGGTGTAAGGGGTTTGGCAGGTCTGTGCGCTGCTGAGAAGCAGCCAGGTCAGAGGAAACTGAGAATTAGGCTACTGTCTGCTCACTTAAAGGTGTCCAACTATAGCTCAACTATAGCTCATCTATCACTCACCTCTGGCCGACATCCTCCCTGGGTCAGCAACCACTGTAAGCAGGCCAGGTTGCCCGTGGCTGCCGCGTCATGCGCCGGGCTTGCCCCGTTGTTCGCCACGCAGTTGCCCGGCAGTCCTGCCTCCTCCACCAGGAACCGCAGACAGGTTAGTTTCCCGGCCCGGGCTGCGTGGTGGACCGGTGAAGCCCCCAGCACATCCCTGACGTCGCTGGTGAGCGCCTTTGCCGCTAACTGCGCTCTCAGAGCCTGCACGTCCCCCTGCCTGGCGGCGAGCAGGGCACTGTCCCCCTCCACCACCATGACCGCCGCAGACTGGACGACTCCTTCCGCTGGTTGCCTGGGTTGAGTCCGATCGGTTCACCGTGCGGATGAGGTCGACATTGTGTTTGCAAAAGCTTCAGATCATCTCAGTTAATGATTGTGGGACAGCTCAGTGATCGCTCCACATCTTCCCACGGCACAGCCCAACGGTTCAAAAGCAAGATCCCTTTCCGTTCATACACATTTTAATATGCGATTTTTACATGTTGGAGGAGAAAATACCTCAGTCCATTATTGTCGAAATGAGCTGTAAACTAACCTGCTTTCTATATTTCTGCCCGACGGTGTGGCTCAGTTGTCCGCTTCTTTTCTCTGGGACGCCCGCAGGATGCTGAACACCTGTTGCACGCGTTTTTGTTTTTGTGTTCCAGTATACTACTTTTTGTTTTAATTTGTTTGTTTACCCTGTTTACTAACGTGTATCATGAGCCTGAGAGAATATCCCGCAGTGTTTTTCTTCCTATAGCAGATGGCGACATGGGACTGAGCGCCTGCTAAATAATCCATCAGGGGGAGGATCGCTGAGCCTGTTACAGGTTGTTGCTTTCTGGAAATCGGCTCAGAAGTTAAAGGGGCAGTATACGACAGGCTGCTTAAAACTCTAAGAAGAGCCCGACGGAGAAAGTTATACAACTGTGGTGATGGGCGTCAGTCTAGTATAGACCCACGGCCGAATACTAATTCAGCGATGGTCTTTTTGAACCCACGCCCAGTCTTGTTTGCATTGAGCCTCTCTGGCATTAATTTTACATACGGCAGTGAAATCAGCATCACTGGACACCCACAGTCTGCACACTGGAGAGGTCCATCTGGTGGCCTGATGTAAAACTGGAGACTGGAAAGGTTTTTACGCTTGGGTTGAGGCATTTGTCTGTTTAGTGGCGGATTGTAGAAGTTCAGCAGGCAGCCATGGCCTCTTGTTTAACTGTCAGTAGTTCATTATAAATGCAGCATTTCCTGCTTCTGTAGCTATAATACATATAAACCCGATATATTGAGCCAGTATGTCACAATGAATTAGGTTTATTCGGTAATACTTTATAATAAGGGTAGTTGAGGAACAAATGAGGCAGTAACTATAGGGAACCATTAATTAATGAGTAACTCATATTCATATTTTATAGAGTAGCTAATAATTAGTTAAATAAATGAGTGAGGAACAAATCAGGAACGACTTGATAATTGATAATTCTTTAATAAGTACTTCTCTAATCATTTCTAATGAAGGACTAGCCTATATAGTAGATATTGATCAGAGAACAGACTGGGAGAGCCTATATTAATGAATTATTAAGTAATGATGAGTTCATGAATATATGAATCTATTATACTGACCACTTTCTTTAGGAGTCATTCCTCATTAACTCTGAAGCAGCCGGTGAACAACACAAAATGACTCATTCATTACTAATTATCTAAACATTAGTTACTTTTAATGTGCACCCAAAGTAATGATACATAATAGTCACTCAGAAGACCCTCATTATTATTATTATATTATTTAATTATACACAGTAGTAGTCCCTCATTACTTCATCATTACCTTATGATTGCTTAATATTTTGTGGCCTTTAAGGTAAAGTGGTGCACATTTTTATATATAAAACATATTATCCACCTTTTTTTTGCTTCACCTTGACCAGCTACAACAGGAAAATGTTGCTTATGTGTTCCTAACAATAATCCAATAATGTAATAACACTGAATGAGTTTTTATAATGATTACTTTTTACAATTGATGCTAGAAATGTTGCTCTCCTGTGAGCATACTTTTGAATACATGACTTCTTTGGAAATAACTGCTGTGATCTTTTTGTTTGGCCCTTGTCTTCAAGCTGTATAAGACAGTAGGCTTGTAGCAGATATTTCAATGAACCTGACCTTGTGAACTGTAATACGTTGAATCACCAAACGGTGGCAGGAAAGCTTCATAGTCATTAAGGTGTAGCTCCACCTGCGGGATCGTTCAGGTATCAGGTCATACTTTATTCAGCACTGGCTTCTGTAAATCACTGTAGCTGTCTCACACACGTTAGGACATTAAACAGATCCCAATAACGACCAATAATAAAAAGAAGCGCAGTGACGAAACCCTTTTATGAAAACAGTGGACCAGGTTCACTGTTTTCATTGCTTTAATTTGAATTGTAAACACACTTAGAATAGGAGGGCTATTTAAATCCAGACCTGTGCAGTTTACTCGTGTCCAGTCCTGTTTATAGGTTAATATCTATTTCATATTCCGTCATATTTTCACGTGATGATTTGGGAGCAAACATGAAACGCAAACCTGCAGCCTCCCACCAGGTTTCTGCCTCCTCGCTGTCAGATTAGCTTGATTGAGTTTTCAGCTCGAGCGGATCCTGCCTGATGTGGGTGGGTTCGCGCGGCGTTTAGGGACGGTGGGGGGGGGGTTATGGGCGAGTCTCGTGCTCGACGCGTGCCTCTTCGGCCCATCTGTTGCACCAGTCCAACTGTCATAGACACCGCGCGCCGATTTGGGGGGGGGGAATTCCCACGAGCAGTCTGACTAATGTTACAATTCCCTGAAGGAAGTGGACAATAATGACTCCCGAACACGATTCAGGGGGGTCAACATCAATTCTATTGCAGCCTAGAATATGTTGCATACATATATTATATTATAGGAATGATAGGCCCGCTTGCAAATAAAAAAAAACCCTGTATTATAAGGCCTATTTAAACAATATAATCATTTACTGGATTATATAGGAATAGTTTTAATAGTGTTTGTTTTCATTATGTGTAGCCAGACTGGATTCCCTGGAAAACAGTGACACAACTGAGTTTATAATCAATATAGTAAACTGAATCGAATAATCATATTTTGTATTTAGGAAAAAATAGACCCACAGTTTGTTGTTGTTGTTTGAAAAATATCGACCCAGTTTAAAAATGGACTATACGCTCAATTTTATATTTGGATTGCCTGTTTTTGTATGAAATTGGGTAGCTATTGATTGCTTAACGGATAGACTGTCCTTTTTGAAATCATGTGTATTTTTTTTTTATTATGTAGGCTATTTACAGTTTAGTAAATAAGGTCCAGGAATAAAACACAGACAGCACCTCTCTGGTGCAGCTGCAGCCTCACAGCTCTATAATGAAGGGTCGAACACAGGATTAAATTATGTGGAGGTGATCTGGACTCAGGGTTTCCCAGGGTTCGTTAAAGACGCTCCCACTAGGCTACTTCAATGAGAGGCTAAATCCCTATTGAACTGGAAAAGGGGCTGCCAACGGTTTTCCCACAAAGCCTGGGAAAGCTGGGATATTTCTTGCACGCGTCAGACATGCGACAGTTATTCAAATTGGACTCGATTATTCAGGCGTGGGTCCATCTATTGTGTGGCCACATCTGCTGCTGCGCGGGAACATTCAAATGAGGACGTGTTCTGCTCAAGTTCATGTTGTTTATAACCTAGCTGCTGTTTGTCTGTCTGTCCGTTTGCAGCAGTGAATACCCCCAATAGCACCTTTAAACAGTTCAACCAGGAGAAAAGCGCTGAATTCGCTGATAAAAACGAACAATGTATTAGTTTTCTCCTAAATTTGAGGTTTAAAACTGTAGCCGACCCTTCCTGACACATATAATAATTTAACACTCTCATGGCTGACCCATAACCATCTTTATGAGAAGGAAACTCTCAATAATGACCACTAGAAACTTAGAGTTCGAGTTTTTTTCTGATTTGACAATTTAAAAAAATAATAAAATAAAATATTTATTAAAAATATAGAAAATTATGATTATTAATAATAAATATATTATAATAATAATAATTATCAATTTACCAGGCGTCACCGTTTTAAACCTCCCTTTAAAACAAGGTGATCATGATAAACATGCAGCGTGGGCCTGTTATATAGACCTGGAGAAGCTCCTCGCGCTCGTCTGCAGCGGCCCAGCTGGTTGGCGCGTGCCATACAGTAATTGCTTTCGCTTGAGTGAACCAGGGCGCGTGCAGGGAGGATGCCTTCAGTCTGTGTTGAACCACAGAGAGGACCGTGTCTTTACCCCAATATAGCGGCTCGAATAATTTTACTAATAGTAATAATTATAATAGTAAACAGATGAATTAGCGACATATTTACATAAAAGACCATAAAGAATTAAATTCACACAACTGTTGTTCAACGTGATCGATCATAAGAAACACACTGTTTATAAAAAGAGACCAGACAAAATAAAATTTATTAAGCAGCTGAAAGAAGACCAACACACACAAAGAGAGGAAATTACTTTATGTATCTCCATCCTCCCATCCCAAAATGTAGGTTGCATTTCTTTCTTTCTTTCTTTCTTTCTTTCTTTCTTTCTTTCTTTCTTTCTTCTTTCTTTCTTTCATCCTTGCAGCCTTTTGGATTGGCATATAACTTTCTCTAACTGGAACTAAAATAAATGTATAATCAACCTAAACATGGAACTCTAATTATGAATGTAATGCATTTAATATTTAAGTTTGTAATAAATTTGATCATTTTTATTTTACATTTGAGAAGTGATGACATTTAAACATTTTCAGTCAAACTCTTTATGAATTGTGGTTTAATAAATGAACACTGCAGCTGTATTCCTTCCTAATTCAGTCTTAGTACCAGTACTATAAGATGCTTTCTGAAATGTTGATATTTAGCCTATAGTCTATTGCTGTCTATACTGTAACTGTTCACTTTCTATTTGATGATTTTATTATTTGCATTCCTCATTTTCACTCCAAACCCCAAATATCAAAATCTTAACAAACATTAAAAGTCCACAAACCTACATTTTTTATGGTTCATACAGGCGATTTCAGGCCACAAACATTTTTAATAGTCTATTGTCAGTGAGTCTTTACTGAAATATTTAAGAAACACATTTTATCAACTGCAACTAAGCAATGATGTATTGGAAAATAAAAACCCTTTTTTCCTGGCTTTTTCATATAAATCTTTTTCATATAAATACCATCAAAAGAAAGACAAATTTTCTATATACTTCCTTCTTCTTCTTCTATATATTTAATGTTAACATTGTTCATTGTTTCCCTTATCCCAGTACTAGGATATTTCTAGAAATATCAAACATCATTATAACAAAAACTAGAATTAAACACATTTCTGAAGTGACAGGAGATATTATTTGGGCTAAGTTGTCTCTCTTTCTCACAGCCCTCAGACAGAAGTTTAGATGTCTTCTGTCCCCTTGAACTCACCATGCAGGCGTGGTGTGTCTCCCACAGCGACCCAGTCATCCGTGAGCTGCAGTGAGAATTTCTACGGTCAGACTTTCTCACACTCAGACTCATTAGCGACTGATGACAGAAACAGGACAACTCATGTGACAAGACAGACGTCATGACAATGCAGTGTCTGCAGTGAAAAGTCAAAAATGTTCTACTGGAAACATGGTAATGAGGGCTTCAAATATCTTCTCTCTGTAGCAGTTTGCAAGGTTCTGAATTATTTTACATTAGGCTGCTCTAAATTACTATACAACACACAATGGAGTCAGAAAAGCTGCTTCCCATTCAAGAGATGTACTACAATAACAGATTATATGAACTTCTCAGTATTATAATATCTAATCCAAACATTCACAGTCACGTGTTACAGTTATAACACAGTTACAGTAACAGACTTGATGTCGTTTTCAACTTGTT